ATACAGCCCATTCTGACGCCTTGAGTTTGGTGAAAAAAGTTCAAAGGGGTTAACCTTGTTTATTTTTCAGACCAAAAAATCAACTTTGTCGTAGGGCCTCCAAATTTGGTATACAGGGTCCTTGTGTAATGCCCTACTGCGGAGTAGAAGCATAGCTCTCTCACTTCCACATTAAAAAAGTAGCAATTTTTCACCTGCTTTTCTGTCGTTGCGGTACCTTTGATATCAAATGGCTCGATCTAGTACCTCCGATTTACTGGAGATTCATGTCACAGGAACTATACTGAATTTTTGGATAACCACAATGAATTTTGCCCAACTTTTCATCGCGATTATCTCGGAAATCAAGTAAGATAAAAACAAACGGATTTCAGTTTCTTGTTAAGCACATCGTGAACATTCTGTGTGCAAATTTCCAGCCCATTCTGATACCTCAAAATATTTGAAAAAAGTTCAAAGGTGTTAACCTTCTTTCATTTTCCGACCCAAAAACCAACTTGGTCGTAGGACCTTCAAATTTGGTATGCAGGGCCCTTGAGGGATGCCCTAGATCGGAGTAGAAGCACAGCTTTCTAGCATTAAAAGGAAAAAAAATGCAATTTTTGACCCGCTTTTCTCTCCTTGCGGTACCTTCGATATAAATAGGCTCCTGATCTAGTACCTCGATCGACTGGAGATCAATGTCTTGAGAACCAATGAACTCTTGATGGTGTAACTAAATGAATTCACGTATTTTGCCCACGAAAAGAAACTCTTCGCCATCATTTCTGCGATCTTTCACACAATGTTTTGCAACTTTTGATCGTGATTATCTCAGAAACGAAGAGAGATGGAAACAAATGGATTTCAGTTTCTTGTTAAGCACATCGAGAACATTCTGTGTGCAAATTTCCAGCCCATTCTGACGCCTCAAAATATTTGAAAAATGTTCAAAGGTGTTAACCTTCTTTCTTTTTCCGACCCAAAAACCAACTTGGTCGTAGGGCCTTCAAATTTGGTATACAGGGCCCTTGAGAGGTGCCCTAGAGCGGAGTAGAAGCACAGCTCTATAGCATTAAAAGGAAAAAAATTGCAATTTTTGACCCGATTTTCTCTCCTTGCGGTACCTTTGATATGAATTGGCTCCTGATCTAGTACCTCGATTGACTGGAAATCGACGTCAAGAGAACTACTGAAATTCTGGTAAAAATAGAAGAATTCCCGTATTTTGCCCACGATAATAAATTCTTTGCCATCATTTCAGCGATCTTTCAAACAGTGTTTTGCTACTTTTGATCGTGATTATCTCGGAAACCAAGTGAGATAAAAACAAACGGATTCCAGTTTCTTGTTGAGCACATCAAGAACATTCTGTATGCAAGTTTTGAATCCATTCTGACGCCTCAAAATATTTGAAAAAAGTTCAAAGGTGTTAACCTTCTTTCTTTTTCCGACCCAAAAACCAACTTGGTCGTAGGGCCTTCAAATTTGGTATACAGGGCCCTTGAGAGGTGCCCTAGAGCGGGGTAGAAGCACAGCTCTCTAGCATTAAAAGGAAAAAAATTGCAATTTTTGACCCGCTTTTCTCTCCTTGCGGTACCTTCGATATAAATAGGCTCCTGATCTAGTACCTCGATCGACTGGAGATCTCTTCAGAGATATTTCTGAAAATTTTTTCAATTTTTGTATCGCAAATATCTCGGAAACTGAGTGAGATGCAGATTTTCAGTTCTAGAATATCTAGAAATCTGAGAAAGATAAAACAAGTTCATGAATGGAATATTTTTATTCTTCCTATTGATTCCCATTTCACAATTGCAAAAGTTCCAGACAAATTAATAAGAATAGATTCTTATAACTAATCTTTGTGTCTTAAAAATCAATGGTATCAAAACAAAATACATGGTTGAATTACAAAAATGTAACATTTGAAAAAATAATTGAAAATACAAAAAATCTTTCGAGGTTGCAAATAGTTTTCTCTGCTTTTCGCAAATGAGATGTGCCCTGTATTCTTTCCATCACTTTCATTTCGAGTATCACTGCATTACAATCCATCTGGAAATAAAATAATCGTTAATTCAATCGCATAATAAAAAAGTTTGTTCAGCACATCTTAATTGAATCAGATAATCCTAACAACATTAGAAAAATACTCATTTCACTTATATTTCTCTAATATTCTAAAGCCTAATCAGTAATTAGGTTATTGCAGGACACCCAACGTGATTCAGCTGGCCAATCAAAGCCCACCACATCTGATTGGCTAGCTGAGTAACTTTCTTCATCAGATAGAGAATAATTTCAACGAAAATTCCACACCAGTGATTTTTATACAGTTAAATTGGGTTTTCATGACCACCAGAGTATGAAATCGGAAATTCTTTTATGACGTTAGGATATAATATGTTACATTTTAAACTAGTATTTTCATGCAAATATCTATCATTGGTGCCGAAACTGCGATCCAAACTAAATTTATTCATGAATCTGTATGCAAATCAAATGAACAAATAAATTCTAAAATTATTATATTTCCAAACACAATCTGGTGTGAATTTTCGTACCGAATACCACACGAGCTCGAAAAAATTTCCGGATATAATTTGACCTCTAGTGGTAATACAAGTGAAAATTTAATGTCAGATAGAGGGTATTCAAACTTTCTTTCACAAATCGTGATTCTATTAGTAAGAACTAAATGATATAATATAGAACTTATGTTCAACCGGAAAATATCGACAATAGAGACTAGGACAAAACATGACCTATCGTTATCAATCTAATGTGACCCCAATTTCCATGGAACCATCAAGTTGTTAAGCGCCCTAGTTGGGCCAAAATGTCCCACATCTGATATTTCCTGTCCCACAAATCGGATACCGATACCGATACATACAAAACACCCTTTCACACTCATCATATTCGACCAGACAATCGCTTTCTGTTGACCTGAATTCAGCTCCCTCACCAAAAATACACAGCTGAAAATGTTTAGTTCAAATTCGGGAAACACCAATTCAGGAACATGGATGTCTGATATAAACAGCAATATAGTAAAGGAGAGGAGCATTATCTAGTTCTTAAAAACAAGGTTATCGATATTAATTTTTTTTTTTTTTTCATCAGCTTTATAAAAAATATTATCCACATTTTTTCCTCCATTTATTGTCACAAATCATCATCAAAAGCTTTTGACCCTAAAGAAAAGATTTGCTTGCGCCGTATTTTTTATTTCTAATGTATGCCCCCCCTAATTTGTTTTGTTTATTGAAATCTGGTTTTCCCCACCCCAACAAAAAAGACTTGATTGAAATCCGGAAAGCTTCAGTTATTGTTATTTTTCTGAAGCGTCAGTTTCTAGAAAAAATAATGACTAAAACACTATCGAAAATTTCACACCTAACATTTTCGACCAATAAAAAGCCTGTATTCTGTGTAGTTATAGCAACTAAACAAATTTCTGGAAATTATTTTCTTTTCCTTGGGGAAAGGAGCATGAAAGGAAATTTTTTGACATAGGTGAAATGACATTCGTATTTAATTTCAGATTACGTCGAATTCATTCTAGTTGATACAGTTCCTTGTAAGAAAATATATTTCTTCCAAAAATAGCTGAATCAATTTGTAAAAAACTGAGTGATTGAACTACTATAGACTTATATTTCAGTATGTCATTTAACTAGAGTCGTTTAATCACATTTTATTTAGCCTAAAAATATCACGTAAGCAAATTTCATTGATAGTTTCTAGCAAGAAAATATATTTCTACCAATTTGAGTGAAATGAATTTTTGGAAAACCGACTACTATCGACTTATTTTTTATTATTTTGTGTAACTAAAGCAAGTTGATAAATATATTTCCACCAACTTTAATGGAATACAGTAAGTCAAGAATGATAGTTTGAACAATGATGGAAGTAAGATATGGTGCGCGCATTCGGCCATTATTACGTATTGAAAATTTCAGAAAAATCACTCGACCGCCTACTATGATTTCTCTACATCGCAACGAGCGAGACGTTGATTCTACATTTTTCCGCTAGATGGTGATGTTGCTATTGCTGCTATTGCTGAACGACTTTTTTCCCGCGGGAAAAAAGTAATTTATGAAAAGTGACATTTTATAACCTGCCAACAGAGATGAAATGCCAAACTTTTTTCTCGTCACAGAAAATAGTTAAGTGGTGATAGTTAGTTGGTTAACTAGGCAGCAAAGTAGTAGATTGACTGCCGAGGCTGAATTCATCCAATCCAGCTAAGGCAGTCAATCTACTTTGCTGCCGAGTTGAACATATAATTTTTTCTCCGATTGTTCATAATGATAATATATATTATATATCTCTTTATTTTTCCTGTAGTGTTCAATTAAAATAAAATTTGATAGAAATCGCAGTTGTTGGAATGGTTGTTTGCTATGGAAATGTCCATAATAATTATAGTTAGACAATTATTCATGAAATTTATGACAGTTGTGCGAAAAAATATCGGTTATATTTAAATTATTATATAATGGACAGTGATAGCGACCTGAAAGTACTTAAACCTCCAGAAATAAGGGAGATGGCAAAAAATATAGATTTGAATTTGTTGCCGGAGAAGTCTCGGATGAAATATGAAGGAAATTATAAACGATTTATGGATTATTAATTTTGCTGATATATATCTATCAGCAAAGTAACCACTTTGCTGCCTAGGCAGCAAAGTACACACTCACTTTTCTGCCTAGACAGGAAAAGTAATACTTTGCTGATTGATATGTGTCAGCAAAATTAATATTTGCTGCCAATCGGAGAAAAAACTATTTTTCATTGTTCTATTGGAAAAAGCAAGTGTGACATCAAAGTAATATTTTTCATGAATTTTTTGCCGTGTACAACAAGTAAGTATAGGACTATCATCTTTTATTGCATGCTGGACAACTATTCCGTTGACCCTAATCGACACTACACAAAATATTCAAAACGAAAACACCAATCAACCTGTCACATTATGACAAATCCAGCCATAGTGTCAATGACTTTCGGTAACAAGCCATACAATGGAATAGTTTTCCGACTGCAAATATCGATTATTCTCTCTCGCATGTCTGTTGGAGAGCTTTCCACGGAAAATAATCGATAATTCTATTCCCAGTACGAGCTTGTTTTCTTCGGATGAAACACGATATATTTTATTCAAAATATAATTCGCTCAAAAGGGAAGCACATCACAACAGATCAATTTAAAGGCGCGTTTTTCGTTTTATAGGGCTTCAGACGTTGTGATATGCGAGGAAGACATGGAGGTAAGAAGTGACCATGACATCATGAAGACTCAGGGGATCAGTAAAGTGTCCCCGGCATTCTACGAGCCGCCTCAAAGAAAAACCAGCGCGGAAATCATCAATGAAGCTAGACTCGCCATCAGAGGTTCGTAAGATATATTTGTTTGTAATACACAATACCCATCATTCTCATTTCAATCATAATATTGTGTCAAAGTGTCAAATTGTCCTTTTATGCAGATGATACAACCTTGATTAGTTCAAACACTAATATTTCACATCTACTAGATCATGCAGAAACTTCAATGACCGAAGCAGAGGCTTGGTTTTGTGCGAATAATTTACAGCTAAATAGAAATCTTAGATTTCCAGCAATAGTCAAGTCACGGCAGGGAACCATTGTAAATTGCTTGCGGAATTATTTTAGATGACTCTCTGAATTGGTCACATCAGGTGGATTCCCTTAGTACCAGGCTAGCCAGTGTTTTATTTCTGCTGAGACAACTCAGACAATGTTCACATCAGACGATGTTGAAACATATACCGGGTGTCAACGAATCTATTAGACAAGTCATAACTTCTAGACCATCAGGTGTATCAAAAAGAGATTTGGTATAGGTAAAAGGTATGTGAAGAGGAGAGTTTTCACATATTTTTCACTTTCCGGTCACTTCTGGTTTCACCGGAAATGGCTCCGGTTCTATATTTTTAAATGGAACACCCTGTGTATTGTAACATTTTTGGATTTTACATATAATTTGCTTGACTATATCATCATTAACACCCCAAAAATAATGGTTGTATAAAAAATATGAATACAAATAATAGTGAATGAAAACGTGATTTGAAGATTTCATCAAACAAAATATCAAACTAGCGAATGTAAGAATTTCTTTTGACCCTTAGCCAAAAATGAGTAACTTCTGAAGAAAAAAAGTCAACTCATACTTCAACTATTGGAGTTTCCTGATTTGAATATCGGATTTTTTTTCTATGGCATTGACCGCCAACCATGGAAAATTGTTAATCACACGCAACATCATTGACTATAATGAGAAAAAAAAATCCTCACACCTACAACATACCATGACATTCAAATAGATTCTCAACTGACAAAAAAATGTTACAGAGGCTCCTCGAATATTACGAATTCTGGGAAAAAAGTCACTAAATAAATAAAAGTATATGATATAAGAAAATAAACTATAAACAGTTTCCTCGAAATAAAATTTGTTTCAGGGCTGATTATTTCTCATCGATAGGTTCCCAGGCAACCAGTCGACGTTCCAGTGACGTCTTTTTTACGTCACTTGAATGACCAAGGTGACGTCAGTAGTTGACGTCGCATTGACGTGATAATGACGTGAATGAGTCACAGCCCAATGACGTCATATTACTCACGTCGTATTGACGTCATTCATTCACCAAACTGTGACGTCCGACTGACGCATAATGACGTCAAAATGACGATTGAATTTGGCCATGATACGTAAAAAAGATTCCTTCAACACACCACTAGCCTCTGATGACATTATATAATATTGATTATGCATTGTTGAGTCTGCTTGGTGGGTCCCTCCTGTGTCATGTTCATTCAATCGCCTATTCAGCAGTGCTATTCTTCAGTACGCATCTCCATCAGAATGCAATCAGTTACTCCTATTTGTATAAAAAACTATGTGTTTGTGTCGGCGAGATGTAAACAAACAAAGAATAGTTTGATAGCAATGGAAAGGATGTTGGTGAATTTGGCTTCACTTTGTTGAATAATGTATATTGATGCATTCTTTGCCACCCAACAAAAATCTAAATAGCAAATTATTGAAAAATTTACTAAATGACGAAGCTCACCAAATTGATACGTCACACCGACGTGATTTTTAGACGTCATAGGTACGTCACTGCAACGTCATAAGAGTAACGGTTTCAATATAGGTATACGTATACCTAAACGATCATTTTTATATATACATAGCATGTTGGTTTCCGAGATATACAGAGTGTCAAAGTTTTTTAGAAAAAAGTTTGTCTACTACTTTTCGGGTATATTAATAATTAGAATAAAACTTGCAAGTTTATTTGCTTCCATGAGTTATACTTCTGATTCACATGATAATACACTCACCGGCAAAAAAAACCGGCCACCAAAAAATTTAGTCAAGTTGTTCACCCTGTAACTTCTTTAGTTCTTGTCGGATTTCGGTGAAATTTTGATCGAATCGTAGATTCATGTTCCGGAATGTTAACCTGAATATGAATTCCCAAAAAAGGTGATAGCTTGGTCATTATACAGGGAAAAACAAGAGTTACTCATTTACCCATAACTTCTTAACGCCCTGTGGCTGAAGTGACTGGTTGAACTCCTCTTCATTATGTCTTGGATTGAAGAGTATTCTTTTCTCATCACAATAGTTCTTGATTCACGTCGATATCTCATTTTTCAGAAAAGATACGAGGGTTTTAAGAAAGTATGGAGTTATTCATGTTTTATTAACAATAATCAGAACGTAGACACACCTACACAAAAAAACCTTAATTACAAAAAACAAACGAAAAGTAGATCTCCTAGATGTATTCAATACCGAGTATGCCCTCCTCGAGCTTGAATTACAGCATTTAATCGCCGTGGCATCGAGTTGATCAGATTTCTCAAGCAGTCTTGAGGAATTGCCTCAAATTCTTCTTGAAGGGCGAATCGTAGCTCTTGAAGAGTCTTTGGCAATGCCGGACGTAGACGAATGCGCCTCTGTAGTTCATCCCAAAGATGCTCTATAGGATTGAGATCCGGGCTGCATGCTGGCCCAGTCAAGCCTTAGAATTCCGACCTCATTCAAATACTCGGTTACAATTCGAGCAACGTGTGGTCTGGCGTTGTCATGCATCAAGACAAAGCCGTCTCCAATAATATGGGAAGTATACCAAGAAAACAATGTGGAAATAAGCCATATTGATTTAAAGATGTTTTTTTTTAAGTTGTCGATCGATAAGTACATGTACGTTCTGATGATTGTTGATAAAACTTGAATAACTTCATACTTTCTTGAAACCCTTGTATCTTTTCTAAAAAATGAGATATCGACGTGAATCAAAAACTATTGTGATGAGAAAAGAATACTCTTCAATCCAAGACATAATGAAGAGGAGTTCAACCACTCACTTCAGCCACAGGGCGTTAAGAAGTTATGGGTAAATGAGTAACTCTTGTTTTTCCCTGTATAATGACCAAACTATCAGCTTTTTTGGGAATTCATATTCAGGTTAACATTCCGGAACATGAATCGACGATTTGTTCAAAATTTCACCAAAATCCGACAAGAACTAAAGAAGTTACAGGGCGAACAACTTGACTAAATTTTTTGGTGGCCGGTTTTTTTTGCCGGTGAGTGTATATAAGTATTCATGGTTTAGAGAAGGTCTGGGAAAAACGGACGTCGACAGGACGTCCCCGTGATTATCAAGTCATAGAAAGTACGTCATAGTGACGTCATAAATTGGTGTGACGTCTCTGACAAAAAATCACCAAATAGGGACGTCACAGTAACGTGATCATTCGTCATCTGGTTGCCTGGGATATGATAAAATTCGTCTATTTTTCAGATTCTCAACAGATAGGAGACAACAATTTTGCACCACCCTCTATAAAACCACTTCAAACTCAGAGACCTTACACGCCCAGGGATAAGGAGAGACTTCTCTTTGGGAACAAGGTGAAAACCAATCGACCTCCTAGCTCTTTCAGGTGAATATTAATAAAAAACCGTGAATTAGGTCATCAAATCAATAACTTAGTTCAAAATAGAGCTTACTGAAAATATCATCGATAAGGATGATTTTTACTTTTTTTTTTCAATGAACAGACACCATTATATCTCGCCTACTAGATTTTTATTTATTATTTATATGTTAACAATAGACAGATTTCCTGTTCAATATGTTTCAGTCTTCGATACCTTCAAAATGAGACAGAACTACCCAACACTCCGCAAGACAACATTTTATTTCCCCCCAACATGGTTACCTCGAAGACACTCATATCGCCTCCGAAAAGTTCGAAAATTTCAAACAAGCTTCAACACCAGCGGTCCAACTCTTTGTCGGAAATCAACGACACGATTTTCAATATTTCGATAAAAGATCCGCTCCACAAAGTCAAGTTGCCATCTTTGGATCCCAATCGACCGCTGCAGAAGAGGAAGATCTTCAAAAATACCACATCTCTCGATAACCGTGAGTTATGAATAATTAGAATCACGCACTATACAGGGTGGCCCTTCGAAAACTTGACATAGAAATTTTGGGTGATAATATCGCAGATGTGGAAAAACCCTTGGAAGCTCTATCCAACACAGATAGAGCATGTAGTTTCTGTTTTTCACGTGTGTACTAAAAATTGTTTCATTCGTGTATGGTATCGTACGTCTAAATTAAAACGAAACAATGGTGTATACAGTGGCAGAGAGGGTTGAGTTGATTGAACTGTATTATGTAAACAATAGATGTGCGAAAAGGGCTGCTGAACGGTTCAATCAACAATATGGTAGGACTGTGTCGCGGCAATATGTGTCTGAATTAGTATCAAAATTCCGAGAAACTGGATCGGTAGCAAATAAAAAATGTCAAATCGAACCGCCAGTGAGAAATGAGGCGACAACAGTGGTAATTGTGGGTCATGTTGAGGTTGACCATACGTTGAGTACAAGACAGCTAGCAACTGTTTCCGGTATCTCAAGAACTAGCATTCAGCGTATTCTGAAACTACATAAATCCCATCCTTACAAAATTGAATTAACACAAGAACTGAATGAAGATCGACGTTTACAATTCTGTGAAGTACTATGTGAGCAGGCGATTGCAAATCCTCAGTGTCTGTTCAACATTTGTTTCAGTGATGAATATTCGTTTTTTTTTTTCAAATGGCATAATTAATCGCCATAATTGTCGATATTGGGCTGATTCTAATCCCCATATGAGGTACATACGCAAAATCCCTAGAAATTAAACGTATGGGCTGGTACTTTTGGGGATCGATCGTATCGTGGGTCCATTCTTCTCAGAAGGCAATAGAAGGGGAAATGTATGTGGAACTGCTTGAAGGCACAATTGATCCAATGTTAACGAATATTAATGAAAATGACCATCATTATCTGGAAGATCAGTTAATATTTCAACAAGATGGTGCTCCTCCGCATTATGATATGCCTGTTCGACGTTCGACAATATTTAGATCAACACTTCCCTGGTCATTAGATTGGTAGGCGAGGTTCTATAGGATGGCCCCCAAGATCACCAGACCTGTCACCCTTAGATTTCTTTCTGTGGAGTCATTTGAAAAGCAGAATTTATAGTACACCACCAGCATCACTAGCAGATTTACGGCAACGAATCACAGAAGAATGTCGCCAAATCACCCCAAACATGCTCCAAAATGTTCGAGAACGTTTTCAACTAAATCTGTATCATTGCATGGAAGTTGGAGGTGCGCATTTCGAGCATTTTTTGAAAAACTGATTACCGTTGTTTCGAGAATTCAACGGGCTTTCAAACGATGTGCCACTCGACTCCTATTCCCTATTCAAATTTCAAGGGTTGTTCACCCCCCTGCTCAAGGGTTGACGTGACGATGCTGCATGTAAGAGGGCGTAATGTCCCCCTCGAAACTAAAATCGACCTGTCCGAGCGTTTTTCCAGATCTACGATATTAGTACCCAAAACCCTCATGTCAAGTTTGATGGGCCACCCTGTATGTCATTGTAGTATGGAAATCATTGTCTGCTAAATATGGAGAAAAAATCTAGTGAGCTGTAACTACTGGTCTGCTCTATAGCTTAGTTGAGTGTATGACCACCAGAGGATGTTGCCGTATCGGACGAAATGATCTTCACTTTTTTCTAGAAAATTTCCGAAATTTGTGGTTATGTAAGTTGTCAGTGTCAAGAGCTGTCGTGCCATCGTGACTTGCATTATATTTTTTCCTAAACAAATCGTTCTTCTTCAATTCTCGTTGTTCTAATATTCCTTTCGTTTATAGATATAGTTTTGTGTTGTGCTCCCAGTATTGAAGTAGTTTATTCTGATTGATAATTTGTTACAAACTCTGTCTCTCAATTGTGCCTACCAGAAAGTGTGAAACCGTCTCCATTCATGGCTTACCAAGTGATATTTTTTTGCGGCATTAGTGGATACATTTGATATTGAGTGTTACAGGCTCATTACAAGTAAGATAATCAGAGCCCTGATCAAAAGCTGATGATCGATACTACTGATTCTACCTCTCATTTAATCAAGTTGTTGAACGTTACGAAATTGGGGACTATTGTAGTGTCTGTAGCAACCAATTTGAGAAGGAATGATTTTTTGAATTTTTGAGTTACTGATTGACCATGTCGTGATACTGAACTTAAAATCATAGAACAAACTGCTCAACTCGTATACGATTTTCAAGGTTATGTAGGTTTGACAGGAAAACAATTGAAATAAGTGTTTCCTCGAGTTGAACGTATGGCGGCACTACTGTATCGGCCACAGAAACCTGAAGGTGATTTTCCTTGTTTCTGCAGACCAGATTGATTGATTGATTGATTAATAGCAGAATGATCAGTCAGGGTTCGAAGCCCAAAACACTGCAGCCTTTGGGCCTATTGTATTCCTGATCATGCTGTTGACTTAGGTGAACAGGTTCGCTACCTTGATAAGGTTTAGCAGCCTCTTCACCAAATCATTCTTTGGAAATGCCTCTTGAGAGTTTACTGTTCCCAGAAGGTTGTATCTCCAACGCGCTAGTGCTTCGCACTCCAATATTACATGGGTGGCAGTTTCCTCCTCCTCATTGCATAGTCTGCATATGGGTTCGATGCCCATTTGATGCATATGTTTCCTCAAGGGGCAGTGACCGGTTATTAGTCCCGTCACTTGTTTGATCTGACTTCTGGTTAGGCTCAGAATGTCGTTAGTCACTGTTTTGGACAGTGTTCCAACCATCAGTTTACTGTGTCTGTGTCCTGGGACATTGTTCCAGTATGCCTGATGTCCTTCTTGCATCCACCTTGCCAGCCAGCCGCGTATTGAGGTTTTGGGGATACCGAACACAGGTTCCGGTCCCATAAACAACGTCGCAGACCCTTGCCTGGCAAGAGCGTCAGCTGCTTCATTGCCTCCAATTCCCTTATGCCCTGGCACCCATTGAAGAGTTACCTTGTTGTGGTTATCCAGGGTTAGCAGGCTTTGAAGGCAATCCCAGACCAGTTTTGATCTGATTTTATTGCATGTTAAAGATTGAATGGCCGCCTGACTATCTGAGCATATGAGTCTTTGTTTACCTCTGTATCCTCTTACGATATTCTCTCTCAGGCATGCCTCAATAGCATGCACCTCTGCCTGGAATACTGAAGCATACCTCCCCAAGGAAGCACACATCCTGGTTCTGGGTCTATCTCCATATATTCCGGCATCCGTGCCCTCATCAGTCTTAGAACCGTCAGTGTACCACACTAACGTGCCTTCCTGACAGTTAGTCAAGACCATTTCATCCCAGTAGAGCTGAGTGTTGAAGGGTATGTAATAGTTATTTCTAGGCAGCATTTTGTCACTTCCCATTTTCATTAGTGGGCTTGATACTAGGCTGATTATTTTTGACCAGATACTACAGCTCACTAGATTTTTTCTCCATATTCAGCCATTGGTTTAGAATAAAAATGTCAATAGAGTATTCTTGCTATGCAGGGTTTGTCATGACGAGCTTACACTATCTCTATATCGAGAATCAGTCGGGAGAAATCCATGAAAATATGCATGCTTATATTTTAAAATACACTCTCTTCATTTATAATATTTTCAGCAATGCAATGTTGCCGCTTCTATCAAAAAGTAACAACAACTCTATTATTATTTTATTGCATTTTTAGATTCTCCCTGAAGAGCTGATGTGATACTTCCCGTCCTAGTTCGGGAAGTACGTACTTCTCGCACTAGACCGGGAAAATGCTACTTTCTCAAAGAAAAGGCATCCGGGAAGTAAGCACTTCCCGGACGGTTGCCGAAAAATAACTATTTTTCTTCAGTTCCTGAGGAATCCGAGTGTCCTTCGGCACCCCAAAAAGTGGAGTCCAGAAACGCCTTCAGCTCCCCCCAAGAACGCACCGATTTCACCGAATCCAACTCTCTGTTCGGCAGACCTTCTAGCAAACAAAAAAACCTGTCGCAATGCCTCTTGCTGGGACCGCAAAACCTGGAGAAAATCTTCGACAACAAACACATAGTCGAACACTCTCAAACGCTTTTCCTCAACACAGGTTATTTCACGAGCCAATTGCACACTAAGAAAAACGCACACTCATTACAACGTTCCATTTTAGTAGATGATAAGAAAGACAGAACCTTCGAGGACGTGTTGACAGATTTGAACAGCGAAAACGAAAAGAATTTTGATGAGGACAGGGTGGTAACGTTGTTGAACGAACTGTATGATTGCATGGAAAAGGAGAGTTTGAACAACCAGAAAGCATCCTCCAAGTTGAAGATAAGAGTTTTGAAGTGCCTGTATAAATTCGTTGAATCGCAAAACGAGTTGATTTTGATCAACATTGCTAAGATAATTCTGTCAGTAAGTGTTTCATCCCATGAATTTAAACTCAACAGGAATATATATTTTGTTTATTGCAGCTAAAAGTGACGGGCAACAATCTGAGTGGAGTTTGCAAGTTGATTTTCAAAGTTGCTAAAAATGACAAGAATGACAATTTGTTCTTCCAAAAAAATTTGTTAGGTACGAATATCAATAATTATGTAATTGTCATTATCACTCTAATTTCTCAAATACAAAATGAACCCGAAAATGTAAGATACTGTACAACTGTAACAAGAAATATATTGGGTAGACACATTGAAGTATTGGCACAAGATTCAAAGAACATTTTGCTCACTTCAGATATAATCAGTTTGACTAAATCAAGTGTTTTCCAAGATATTCTTGAAACTAGTCAATTTATCACTTTAGTAATAATGAATATCAATAGAGAATGAATAGTTTGGAAAGTATTCACGTCTTTCTTTCTTTTTCAAGTTGCCGATATACGTATCTAGGCTTATCTGAATATTATTGTAATTATATTTGTGTCTGATTATTGTCAATAATCTCCGAAACTTCACTTTAGTGAAATCTCGAAATTATTCTAGAAATTGTGAATGCAATATAGCTTAAAAATCAGCAACTTTCAATATCAGTGAAATTGACCAGTTAAAAAAACAATTATACTTTTTTAGAGTTGTTTCTTGATGCGCTGGGTAGATCAAGCCCAATGGACGATGCAGAAGCGTGTGTCTATGGTTATGGTGCTGTGAAATTTTTGACAATGAATCAAAAACTACTGGATAAGATTTTGGGTCTTGGGATTCTACAACTCATGGTTTTGCACATCAAATTGATAAATACAGCGGTAAGAATATAAAACTGTAAATTAAATAATACCTGAGGAATTTTAAATTGAAAGAAATGATCAAAAAAATGTTTGGAAAGCTCTGATTTGATATTACAATACGATAGGAACACTTAACTATTCAATTGATGGAATATCTGATTATAACTTACATAATTATCAAAGGATTTCTGAAAATGATGATTGTTTATTAACATTACTTACAGATATATCATTCCAAGTAGTGATACATTTGCCTCAGGTCCATGAATCTGCAAAAAAAAAGTTTCTTGACTGGAATTACTTACTACTCATACTGAAAAGATACCTACATAACCAAAACAGTTTTGTACCTATGAATGTGCAATATTTTCAAGTGTTTCCATTTCAGAAACAGTTCAGCATTAATTCAATCAAAACGAGTATGATTAAAAAAAATGCACTTTTACTTCCAATTGAATCTAAAACCAGATGGTGCAAAACTCTTTTGGATTGTAGTTTGACTCATTTAAATATGGTGGAATCATTTTAATATGGTGGAATTATTTCATTATAATAGAACTTTAAATTATTTCATTTTAGAAATTGGAGAAAACTTCAATGCCTGAACAAACGAATCATGCATTATTCCAATTGACCGGTGCTTTGAGAAATTTAATTTCCGAAGAACATGTCTATGACACCTTCATATCCTGTGGGGCTATTGCACAACTTTGTCAAACCCTAGAAACATTTGCTTTTGATCCAGATGTCATTGCAAATATATCCAGGACATTAAGGTTGATAATCACTGGTTTCTTCTTGGAAAAAAATTATCCTGGACTCGTTTTTCTTTTGCAGTATAATATCAACCAATGAATGCTGTTGTGATACAATCGTCGAGTACAAAAACATATACGGGGTGTTCATAGATCTGTTTGACAAATTCGCAGGCAATGAAGAAGTGATCGTACGTCTGACTTACACTTTGGGAAACATTGTTGCAAAGATCGACAATACAAGAGTAAAGGTACAACTCATCCGACTGTTAATAATTTTGTTAATTTTTCATATTTTGTTCCAGTTTTTCTACGAAAAAAATGCTATTGATAGCCTTCTGAAGCTTTGGAAGGTATACTTGGACAGAACACTTCAGAATTGCTCAATGAAGTTGGACGCAAAAGAAGAATTCAGCAGTAATTCCGAGGATGTTATGATTAAGGTTAGTAGATAGGTAGGTAATTTCTCAGAAAACAATTAAGAAGTGCTACTCTTCACACTCATATGATGAGGAAATAACTAAGAAATTTATACAAACCTATTAAATGAATTCTGAAAATAGAATACCTCCTAGTCTAGTAGTACCAATGACATTCTCAAACAAGACATCCTTGATTTTTTAAGGCACATACCACTATACCAAGGAATACAGGATGATCCATATCAATTTATTTCATCAATGTATGAAAGTATTTATACAATGAGTTCAAGATGCCCTCTATAGCTTTTGATCAAATTCTAAATTAAGAATTCATTTTCTAGACCATTTCATCACCATTTATTATTATTTTTTAGATAATAAGGGTTATAGCAAATATGGTGATAAATCCAGAAGTGGGCAAGGCATTGAATGAGAAATATGGTACTCAGCTGATTGAAGAAATAATCAAAGTTCTCATCAGCAATCCATTCAAGAAAAATGAAGAGTTAGTTCTGTCAATACTCAGTACATTGAACAATTTATCATATTATTATACTAGTGACATGGAAATAGACATATTTCACATCAAACAGGTGGACATTGTTGAGGGTAAGTAAAAATTTTTGTTCACACTATATTACTCATACAAATCATAATAATTGAACATGTTTCTAGCTATCACAGAGTTTACCAAATCAAAGAATAAAGAGTGTGTTACTGAAACCATGAGAATATTGGGTAATTTGTCAAGATCAAAAATAACTAGGAATTACATTGCTGAATCAGAGGTTTTTGAAATATTGATGAACCTCCTGGAAAAAGGTTACCACTTTAAGATACTGATAGACCATGTTTTTCACAAGATTTCATTGTTTTTTAGCTGATCCCACTCTATTGAAAACAACAGTAGGAGTTTTTGTGAATCTAATGTCAGATAACAGATCCAGAACACTATTCAAAACCAGTGGAGGAGTAGGAAAACTCATAAAAGCATTGAAAAACTCTTGTGATAATGACTGGATGTTATACAATTTAGTCTGTCAAGTCTTATGGAATTACTGCATAGACTCTGTGGATTTACATGATCTATTTTCTGAAAAAGAAATTCACAAACTGTTAATACTACTAGCTGATTTGCTGGGTTTGTAAAATTATTTCAATGTAGAGTATTTTTTTAAAATGCATAATTGAGTATCTTTCACTTTTCTCAGAAAATATATTCATCTCTGTGGTACTCTTACAGATGAAGAGAAACTATTTGGAATTGAGGAACACACTGATGATATGGATGTGTATGTCACTCAGGAATACTTGATATGGGAAGAATTTGCCAATGTTGCCACAAACCTTTTGGAAAAAATAGAGTATTTTTTGGACACCTTTGACCAAATAGTCATTGATAATGAGAAAACAGATACAAATAAGAACACTAAAGATTCCAGCACCAACCTTAGTTTCTCAGCTTGGTAGAAATATGATCAACAATTACTCACAAACTATTAGAATTTATAATTGTTGTTTTTTTATATTTTATTAGTGTTATTGTATAATATTGAAGATATTTATACTCATCATATTAAATGTAACATAAAAAATATATCTTATTACCATAATAGAGCAACCCATAGTCTTATTTTGACATTGCACTTCTTAGCTGAATTCTTCAGGCAATGACTTGAGTAGTTTTTGAATTTGTTCCAAAATCAAAGTGTTGTTACAAATGCAATTCTCTGGTCCATAAGGAGGAACTATCACCAAGTGATCGTCAATCTTCAGATAGTCTCCACTCTCCTGCACATCAATTTGCATATGTTTCAACCATTTAGTCACCAATTTCTTTTGATTAATGTGACTGGCAACTTGTTTTTCAGCAGGTTCTTTCAGGTAACTTTCTTTCACAACTTCAGAGGTTGTTTTTAAGGACTCAATGGCATGACGGAGTATGAAAACGGTTTGGAATTCCTCTTCACTTCGGAAATTTGTATGAAGGACCACCGTTTTGAAAATTGGATCTATCACATAGACTGTACCTCTGTGAATTTTCTTGTCGACAGTTTCTATTTCGACTTCTCTACCAACGAGGCTTTTCATGTAGATAGGATCATTTTTGAAAATTTTATCATCAGAATATTCATTCATTATCACAGTTTTTTTACAACAAACCGCCAGGCCAGCGCCAGACTGATAAGTGATAAGATGTTGATTTATTTTTCAGAAGAGAGTGGGCCGAGTGGGGTTATGTTGGAAGTTCATTTTAGGTTAAGGTCAAGTCTTCTTATTTCTCGCTAATCACAACGCACAGGTTCGCTGCGGTTCGCAATAGTTCGAATTATCAAGTTATAAATAGTCCTTAATCAAGAAGTGACTAGAAACCCGCGCGCCGTTATTCTAAATTTTGTAAATCTGAATATTCATTTCAAGAAAACGTCGGCGATATGCTATTGTTTATGTCTTTTTATTTATTATAACTTTGCAGTTTCCATTTTTCTGGAATAACTGGAAATGTCTGCATTTAGGATTGTATTACCAAAATCGTGTTCCCTCGTGAATCCAGTTGCAGCACTCTCAGATATACCAGTTTTCAGGATTTCAAACATTGTTAATTTAAATTTGAATAATATGGTATTATAATTTTTCGCTCATCGTCAACAACCTGCATTTTTTACAACTTTTTCCCCACGATTATAATATCTCTGCTTCTAATCATGGTGAGTTCAAATGTTTCCGCGTTTTCCCTTTCGTTATGTTGAGAACAATGTTAGTGGCATTATCGAAAATCCGGAAAATCTTGTCAGGAAATACTGTGAAGTCTGTGAATCCCAGAAACGGTAACGCACGTAACTTCTGTGTATCACCTAGGAAATCAAAGTTCAAATTTGAGGAAATGGCAGTGGCAAGTAAAAATAATATGGCTTCTGTCCCATTTTTATATCATTCCCTACAATCTATTTTGGATGTTTTTGAAAAACCTGAGGTGAGTTCTGAGACGTCGTGCTACTCATATATCACTGCTGTCATTTTATCATTACCTATTTGGGTGTTGGGTTGGGTGTTTTTTAGAACAAAACCAGAGATGCTGTAAGAGAACTATTAAATATTTATGAACGAGCAAAAGAGGAAAAATCGAAGCATGATGCCGCAGGAGAAGTTCGTTCCCATCCATTCATTGTTCTAGAAGGATTAGATGGATCAGGTAACACCCTGTATATGCAATTATACCTACAATTTCTACTAATATTATGAATGTGAATTTAAGTTTGTTTGTCAAGCTTTCACGCCAAAACTACTCAACCGATTATCATGAAATTTTGTATACATATTCTTAGATGTATTTAAACGGACATAGGGTAAATTTTATTGGAAAACAAAAAAACATTTTTACAGCAACTAAAAACATTTATTTTGACAAATATGATTGTTCGACACAAAATATCCAACAATCAGATATGAAACTTTATTCGCCTGTACCTTATTAGATATTGATTATAAAAAATACGTCTTTTGGGACTGGCAATGGTAAGTCTCGGATTATTTAGATAACGAAATGGAAATGACAAATATCTAACCAAACATCAGGTGCATGGGCACTACCAAGGCGCAAAATTTATTACTGCATGGAAGATACCCTTCAGAATTCTTGATATTCAGTGACTTGACCACCAATAACATCGTTGACATTGACGTTTTAGTCTTCTGCGCAATCAAAATGTAAGATTCAATGGGCCTTTTCATCTAGAAATATTTTTAAGACGCATGCGCTCGTTTTTAGATCCAAAAGTTTATTGGGTAATGCGAAGGTGAAGCCTCATTGGCTATAGTTTCAAAACAAAATGCTGATTGGCCATATGGAATATGGCGGGTATAATATTGAACTTTCTGTCGAATGTCAATACCATGGGCATTCCTCAATTCCTCATTGAGAAACAACAATAACAACATGGTATAAAACGTTACTTATTCGTTACTGAGGAGTGTGGTGCTGTGGTGTAAGTGTTTCGATGAAAATGGCCGCCACTGTCGGTAATTGTATTATAATAATTTAATTCCAAAAAACATTACTTATTCGTTACTGAGGAGTGTGGTGCTGTGGTGTAAGTGTTTCGATGAAAATGGCCGCCACTGTCGTTGGATGCGAGATGTAAACAGAGATAGTCATTTGTCATCTAAATGAAAAGGCCTATCCCACCTGAATTGATGCAGCTACAGAGAGGACGCAACAAGTAACTTATTTTTGTTGTAGTGAAATACATCTCTTTGTTGTAGTAAATTATTTCAATAAAGCATGTTTTCAGTTTTTGAAACTTCATTGTATGTAGTTATTTTTGAATACTAAATCCCATTGATTCAGTTCTATTGGAATATACAGGGTGTTCCTTAATGTTATGCTGATATTCAAGGAGCCGATTATTCGACCTATTTCAAGAATTGGCAAAGTTCAGTCTGCTATGTGACTGAATCGGTATTTCAAAATGTTTATACTTACTGTGATTATCCAGGAATGGATGTCCTGAATGGAGTACTCTCATGCATGCAGACATCAAAATTTGAAGTCTGGTCTCGTTTTTCCGGTTTTTCTCTAAAACGAAGCATTCTATCGAGTATCAACAAGAGACTCTTTTTGTACATAATTGAATAGTCTTTCATATCATTGTATGAAATTTGAAAATTTTCCATCGTTGCTCACTTCTAAGTAGAATATACACAAAAATATTCCCGTAACGGTGCCACTGGTGGAAAAAATGAAAATTTTTGTACATCAGAAAATGCAACTTGGTGCATAAAAGACGTGCACGAAATATCATGTAGGTGAGAACAATATTATCTCAGAGTCAGGTATTATCAAAGAACTATATATTTTTTAAAATTTCTTCATCCTGTATCTCAAAAGTTAAGACTTTTAGGACATACGTTAAATGAGTCCAATAATCACCCCCTGTATAATGATGATGTTTATTCAAAGGTTTCAATATGAGCGAAGCCGCGGGTAGAAGCTCTTTTTCGATAAATTGCTTCATCCATTAACTTGATATTGCACCATATATAATTTCCACTGGATATAATATGATCTTCTAGGTAAATCCACAACTGGAACTAAGTTTGCAAAAAAAATCGGTGCCAAAAAGTGGCAAACTCCGCCTGCATCCATCAGTCACATAAGACATTTGTTTGATGATGACAAAGTCCTTCGCACAGCCTATTACTCCCTAGGGAACTATATCGCTGGTTTGGAGGTAGAAATCATGCTGAAAGACCAGCCCATAGTGATGGACAGGTACTTACACAATTCATTTTCTAGAATATTTAGGTAATAGAGACCTTGATAGGGACTCAATACTCATCATCTTACTAAGCAAATTTGGAAGCTATGTTGATGCAAGGTTGTAGCAATAACTGAAACGGGCGTTCAGCAATATTGCAAATGTAAATTTGTAAATGTAATGTTCCAGCAATGTCACAGCAACATGTAATATTGCTGCAACTATACATTATCAAACTTCACCTTTGAAATATTGCTGCACGTCCGTTGCAGTGATTATTTCAACATTGCATCAACATAGCTTTCCACTTTGCCTAATAGGATGGTTGTATTTATATGTGGAGAACATGAGGCATTAGGGCTATTTCAAGTGTCAACTAGCCATTAGAGTGATGTTAACTGGAATTCCATTTTCATTGGCCAAATATGAAGGTCGTTTTTATAACAATTCAAATAAGCACTGATAATTTAGGATCTGGTACTAGTTCTATTGTTATCGATGCAATTTGATCAATTATGTTCATCGGTTTTGCAAGTTTTATTTTATTGAAAAAATTGTAAACTCCTGTGGACTCCTGATATTTTGTTTCGTTCGAAAATTAATCCACAGACTTATAGCGAAAACTCAATCACTTGTGGTATAACTACCGAAAATCCTGTGTGTTATCACATGAACCTTGCAAATTAGTATTTTCGTAAAACAAATGAATGAGAACCTTCATCGTTGAGTCGTCAAATTTCATTCAGATACTGGCATTCAACTGCTGCCTATGCCATGGTGCAGTGGATACATGACAACAAAGGCAAATACGAGATGCCTCCGGCAGGAGACGAAATTTACTGCTGGCCTGACGATCTCTTCAAGCCGGATATCGTCTTTTTTTTAGACGTGAGTGAACAAGTGAGGGCGCAGAGGTTGTCGCGCAGAACAGAGTCGACGGCTCAGGAGGATTTGTTGAGGTCCAGCACAGAGTTCAGAAGCAAGTAAGACATTTTTCTCAAATTTCCATAGACAATCTTGAGGCTAGAGGGATTGAAACAATCCTATCCTACCAATATTATAAATGTGAATTTAAGTTTGTTCCTCATGCTTTCACGCCATAACTACCCAACCAATTATCCTAAAATTTTGTATAAATGTTCTTAGATGTATTAGAAAGGACATATAGAATACTTTTTATTAAAAACAAATTTTTCACGGCGGGTAAGAAAATATTTTGGCAGATATGATTGTTGGGTACAACAAATAATTCATGTGGAAGCCATACAGAATACTTATTTTTGTTGTATTGAAATACATTTTTAATTTTGTTGTAGTAAATTATTTCCATAAAGCATGTTTTCAGTTCTTGTAAGTTCATTGTATGTTGTATTTTTTGAATACTGAATCACATTGATTCAGTTCTATTGGAATGTATGATCTGTAATATTTATTCAAGGGCTTCAACTCGAGAGAAGCCGCGGATGAAAACCAGTGTCACGTATAAAACGATATTTGTATAAGTATTCGCAAATTCAAGAGTCTAAACGCCACCTGGTGGCGAAATTATGAACCTGCCTAGTGAATAATCGGTAATGGATCCATAATATGATTCAATTTGTAATCACTTTTCAATAGTCCTCAATACCTTAGAATAATCCCCCACAAAGCTCAAAAACGAATGGGCCACACCGGTTCACTGTACAAAACAAGAAAAATTACAAATACTCACAATCCTCCATTGTTGTTTACGTCTCGCAGCGCCCTTATCGGTAGTTGAAATAGATATTATGTAAACTTTTGTAAACTTTTCACCAATATATCAATAGAATTAAATCAAATATAAAATTCACCATAGTAATAAAAACAGAAAATTCGGTCAATTCCTTGGATCTGACAATATGTAAAATTCATGATAAACATGATTCATACATTTTTCATGAACCATCCCACACTGATATCACTATTCATAATGAATCAACTTACCCTTATCAATATAAAATAGCAGCATTTAATACTATCATACACAGACTAATGAAGCTTAACTCAAAAATCAACTAAACCTCAACACCAGTTTTTCTCCTATGCAGCGCCATCTAGTAAATAAGAAAAAAAATCCATAGCAAAAATCATTTTTATGTCTTGTAAAATGGCTGAATCAAGTACATACAGAAGGTGATTTTTTTATTGTTAAAGAGTTGATATTGTCAAGGGCAACTGGAGATATCAAACAATTGATGCTCTTATTTCATATGTCATCTATCGTTTCTTCAATAATCTATAATTAATTTGCTTCTATATATGAAATCTTCTACATGATTCCCACTATTCCATTCAATTCGTTGGTAATTATTCCATTTTTGTTATGGTGAAAATAATAAATCTCTGTATCTCTAATGATTATAATATGGATTCCTATCATTATTTTATTACAATCTATGAATTTGGAAAAAAAGTTAGATTGACAGATTTTTTTCTGAAATATTAGAATTTTTTAGATTTTTGGAATATCTACCGATGAAGCATTGGAAAATATTTATTTGGAAATAATGTTTATTTTTCTTGAAGATTAAGCACCTAATATAATTTTTATTTTTTCAGCGTTATCAAGGCATACAAAAATATGTACAACCCCCCAGTGACTGTGATAAATTCCAACTTTGCTTTTGGAAGAGTCCTGCGTGAGCTACAAGACAGAACGAAGGATTTGTTGGTTGAATAACTCCTCGACAATGATTCCTTCAAGTTGGAATATTTATAATAGTTATCACCAAGGAAAGACTTTATATGGATTCATGATGCCTTTAGGATCCAAAATTCGCTTCAGGTCCTTCATCATTTGAACATTACTTGATGGTCTCGCAAAGTCCAGATATTTAGCCTTCAAAAAACCCATACCATGTTCTGCGCTGATGCTACCTTTCAGCTGTTTTGTTCTTTGGAAAATGTATGGTTCAATATAGTTTTTCAAGTCCCTCGAGAATTCTTCCACCTCGATCTGTATATGAAGATTACTATCCCCTGAAAACAAACAAGTTGATACATAATGTTACACATTTCAATGCATAAAAAAATCTTATTAGTTTCAAGGTCAGTTTGTATGACGAAGTTGATAACATTCAATTGATAATGATTTTACACTTTTCTGATTCTCAGACCTTGATCCTGGAAGAAAGTTTTCGGCGTTACTAAAAACAAAAACAAAAACGAGAAGGGGGCAACAAAAAGCAGTCAATCTTTGGTAGACATCCATAGTTTTTTACTATGGGCATCGGCAGGCAGATTCACTAGTTATACTATTTTTATTTTTTCAACTTCATACAAGTCAATATTGAATTATGTAATTCCCTCTCATCAAGATCTCATTGTATTCTAGAATTTTTATTAGGCTGGAGATGGTCCTTATTGAAACCGAAACATGAACGTGAAACAACGTCATTAAAATTTGTGACTTGAGCATTCCTTTCTTCCTCTGAGAAAGCAGTTAGCTGACCGAGGGTAATTGATAGCAAAACCTAACCATCTTTGTTACACATGCAGCCTTTCTTCTATCTAATGCTGTCGTCAATAATCTCTACAGGACCGTAAGACAATTTAGTAATTCAATACAGTTTACCTACCCATATGACCCAAACCAAATACTCTTATTGCCATATTGCCCATATGTTTTGTCATATCTTCTACTAGAAGATAATAATTTTCCAGCGGTAAAGAAATGTCATAACAAAACAGATGACCGCATTTTCTGAATCCATCTGGAACCCGTTCTCTAATTGACCATATTGCCTGAAATATAGTATTCAAAGGTTGGATGCCAAATATATATAGCCCTGTACATACGTTTACTTTGTGGGTTTCCGTTGCCATTATCCCGTCAGAAACAATATTTTGCTCCAAACATGATTGTAAGAAGAAGTTGAGCTTTTCTGCGTCATGTTCTTCTCTACTGCCAGAAGTTTCTATGACCAAATAGAACGGATATTTTCCGATAGGAGAACTGATATCTAGTTTCTCTTTCATGAATTCTATTGTAGCAGTATCCATTACTTCGAATGCCGAGAGAATTTCGCCTAGATCATGTTTGGCCTCTTTGAAAGTCTTCAAGACTTTATCGAAATTATTTAAACCTGAGAAATCACAAAATAATGTTAACCACCCAAAACATTTCGGTTGTTGTTCAGCTTATCCAGTTGTTGTTACCTAAAAATGCAACATTGACACTTTTGGGTCTAGTCGGGCACTGCAAAGCAACTTTTGTTATGAAACCCAGAGTCCCTTCTGACCCAATAAATAGATGTTTCAGATGAAAACCAGTATTATCCTTCTTCAAAGTGCTCAAACAATCTATAATTGTCCCATCAGCTTTAACCTGAAAAAATTATCAACGTTGTTGATAACAATTGTAAGAAGTACGGTTAATGAATAGATAAAATTGTTGTCGAAAACTTACAACTTCTAATCCAAGAACATTCCCATGCAAATTTCCATATCTCAACAGTTTCAGTCCGCCCGCATTAGTGGCAACGTTGCCCCCTATGTGACAAGATCCCTTAGATGCCAGATCGATCGGTACCATAAGGCCTGCTTCCGCCACTATGGCATCCAGATTTTCCAAAACACAACCCGCCTGGCAAACCAAAACACCTAAAATAACGGTTTGGCCAATAGTTTTCGTATGGTCACGTCAATATAAGTACAGATTATTTTCATTTATTAGTACTGCTGTTGAGTATAAGTCATTTGTATACATGATGATAAGGATGGGTCTAGGAACAGTGCCTTGAGGAACACCACAAATAAAATTTGTTTTGGGCTAAAAATTCATGTGAATTTGGGTACCAAACTCTTCTGCTGATATGTCTGCTTTAGAATGTCATTGTGTTGGGCTTGGTTCAATTGTGTGCGGATGTTGTATATTCACCTGAATTCGCATCTAGATGGATTATGTCATTCATAAGTTCCGCTGACAGTACTATTTCGTCAAAAACTGGTACTGCTCCCCCAACTAAACCAGTATTACCACCGTGAGGACATACTGCCAAGTTGCTGTCATTACAGTACTTCAAAATTTCTGAAACTTCACCTGTTGTTTTGGGTTTGAGAGCCAATGCACTATAACCTAAAAATTGAGAGATTTGGATTTTGGAAGTCGATGAAAAAATATTTCATAAATTTTCGAAAATTATAGACACAGTATTTCAAGTTTGTGTCCATTTCAATACAACAAATGAACTAAATCAAGAAATTGGTATTCTTTTTTTACCTCTTACACATCTCATCCATTCTTGATTGTACTTCTCCAATTCGTGAAGATCTGTGATAGTTCTATCGCCCAATAAATCTTTGAAAAACTGGACGTGATGATTTTGTAATTTGTTGAAATTTTCTCGTTTAACATCATAGATATCCTGCAAGATACAAGTAAAATCATTATTCCATCATTGTGTAATCATCAACTTACCTTTGTGAGAGCCGATTTGCCATGAAGATATCTTTTCACGAATGCAAAAACTTTATCGCCAGGAGTTTTCGCGGTTGATAACATTTTTTAACGCATTTTTCTGCGATTTTGATGTTCGTCAAATCGTTATCACTAAGTATAATAGTATTATAAACAGAACACAAAAGCTTTTTATAATCACTGGACAAATATTTTCAAATCCCGGACTTACAATGAATATCTAATGTAACTAATTTTTTATCAGTCCAAGTATTTTGGGTTTCGAATGTATACGGGACAAATAATTTCAAACACCGATACAGAAAAACCAAGTCTAAGTCACTGGACAATTGATATAGAATTCTGGATGATATAGAAAAAAATATCTTCGAGTCGAATTATGAGTACAAATTTGAAGCATGGAAAACGAGGAATAGATTTCATTAGATTTCCAGGGATAACTATTTCTTGTCATCTATTGATCGGTCAAGTGTATTTTTTATTGCTCCTGTATATCTATCGGCTGTGAAAATTATTCTCACTCAAAGAGGGCTGAAGAAATGCAGGTGTGTCAAAAGTCGTATTTGGAACAGTAAATAGTCAAACAAGGCCAACAGCATCATATTGTGAATTTTGATATACAGGGTGCTGCAGCCTAACTTCCTATTTTCAAAACTTGATGAAACTCATCGTATAAATCAGAAAAGTTTTTATGATGTAGGCGCATACCCAAAGTTTTGTTTTACATAGTTTTCAAACAGATCAAAACATATAGGGGCAATTTCTTCTTGGATGTTGGTCTTCAAATCTTGGAAGATTCACATAAACACGGGATATCAAAAAAACCCATGGAAAAAAATCAAAAGAGATCAAATCGGGAGAGCCAGCCGGAACACTTCCCAGAATGCCTCATTTCAATTAGGGGCGATTTGTTTCTATGGGGGTTCTTAAAAATCCCGTGTGATTTTTGAACCGTCCAAGGACTACAAGATTTGAAGCCCAACAACCAGGAAGAGATTAACAACTTAACGCCTGCTTTTCTGGCAAGAGTGATGACAGACGGCAGAAATCGGTTTACCCAGTGGCCCAGTGTATAGAGAATGGATGACATCACCTATCTGCGATTTCATCATCAAAACTATGTAAAACGTAACTTTAGGATGCGATGCGCCCACATTATGAAAAAAGTTATGCTGCCGCACCCTCTGTAGTTGGTAACACTGCGAGTTGCAGATCCCGACACCGAAGAATTATAAGAGTATCGACCAGTTCTCCTGATTTTCAACTACGAATACGAAATAGCCACAATGATCAAAGTGGAATGAAATGTTGAATAAATTCAAAAAGCTCAAAGTCATTTCCACACAATGTTCATAAAATGAACAACATAAGTAGATTTCGGGAGAAAAACAACTACTTTTCTGGCTAGTGCCAATGAATTACATCCTCTCGAAATCTATGCACCGACGACTCGTATAGACGAATACTGATAAAAGTGATTCTTTCCAATAACTATTGATTTCGATTTAGCCAGGCCACGCTAGACACCTATAGACCGGTTTCGAGCTCTTCGGCTTTCATCAGTGCAGGGCAGTCTCCAGCCAGCATTTCTAAGACCACCGATTGAGCGTAGCCTCGCCCAACAAAAATCAAGTCGGCATTATATTTCCCCAGAGGCGTATCTCATAGACAATATGAAAGCAACGCCATCTGAGAAGGAAAGAAACACTCCAAATTCCCATACGGGAGTGGATGGTTGCCCGACTGGCGTAATTTCAAATACGAAATAGCCACAATGCTCAAAGTGGAATGAAATGTTAAATAAATACCAAAAGCTCAGTCATATCATTTGTATCAGTATTCGTTAATACGAGTCCATGCATAGATTTCGAGAGGATTTAATTCAATGTTTTGCGTTGAATTGGCCAGGAAAGTAGTTGTTTTTCTCCCGAAATCTACCATTGTTGTTTATTTTATGAACATTGTGTAAATGACTGAGCTTTCTGTATTTATTCAACATTTCATTCCAGTTTGAGCATTGTGACTATCTCGTAGTTGAAATTACGCCAGTCGGGCAACCATCCACGCCCGTATGGGAATTTCAGTTTTGGAGTGTTTCTTTCCTACTCAGAAAGCGTTGCTTTCATATTGTCCATGAAAGACGCCTCTGGGATAATATAACGTACTTGATTTTTGATTGGCTAGGCTAGTAAACCTACGCTTAGTCGGCGTTCTTATGACTGCTGGCTGGAGACTGCCCTGCATTCGAAACCGGTCTGTAGGTGTCTAGCGTGGCCTGGCTAAATCGAAATCAATAGGCATTCAGGAAAGAATCACTTATATCAGTGTTCGTTTATACGAGTCGATGTAATTCAATGTTCTGCGTGGCATTAGCTAGGAAAAGTAGTCGTTTTCTCCCGAAATCTACCTCTGTTCATTTTATAAACATTGTGTGGAAATAACTGAGCTTTTTGTATTTATTTTCTCCTGATATTGTTCAGCAGCGTTCCTTCGCAGGTTTCAGTTTGATTTTTTTGCCCCTTTCTTTCTAAATGTAGACGTTGAAGAGGTTAGGACACGTGGAAGATATAAAATTCCATGAATGTACCAGTAGCAGATCGATACACCTTCTTTTCGCACTTTTACTCAGATAACCCAGTATAGAAAAAAAGGACGGAATAACTTGAAATCTTTTATTACTGAAATACTTTATAAGGATTCAAAATGCCTTGGGGATCCATCAGTCTTTTCATCTCTCTCATAAGATTCAGGCTACTTTTTGGCTTCACCATGTCCAAGTATTTGGCTTTCATGAAGCCGATTCCATGTTCGGCGCTGATGCTACCTTTCAAAGCTGTGATTCTTTCGTATATGTACGGCTCCACGTGACGTTTCAACTCATCACTGTATTCTTTCAGTTGAATTTGAAGATGAATGTTACCATCTCCTGAAAAAAACACGATTCATTCTTTCATTTCCACTAGAATTGAGAGTATAATATTATTATTGATGATGGAGATCAGAGAGAACAATAAAATCATTATGCCCGAGTAGGAGCTTACACTTTCTTTTCGACTATTAATATTACACGGGTAGTTGCAATGAGATGAAAATATTTGACAAAGAAATGTCTGACACAGTGCAAGGCGAAACATTCATCATTTGACCTACTTAACTCTTGTTGAAAACACTCAAAAGTGATTTTTTTAGCGGAAAAGGTTTTTTCAAAACCTAATTCCTTATAGATTCTTTCCTAGTTTTTGATACCATGTTCACTTACTTTCAAATTAAAAGCAAATTTGAACAGAGACCTGATGAATCATGGGGAACTATACCAATTCGATAATTTATTTTTCTCACCTAAATGTCCATAGCCGAATACCCTTACACACGACTGTCCCATGTGAATCCTCATTTCGTCAACAATCCTGTAATAATTGTCTAGGGGAAGAGAAATGTCATAGTAGAGTACAGCGCCACCACAAGATTTATAACCGTTCGTTATGTTTTCCCTTATCGACCAAATTGACTAAAAAAAAGACCTAAATAACAAATTGATATTGTAGTACTTTCACAGCATTAGAAAGAGCATAAATCATGGGCGTAGCCAGAGAGGGACAGGGGTGGGCGCTTTCCATCCGCTGATCCAACCCAGGAAAAATATTAATGAAAGTATTGCGCATGATATAGGTACTATTTATATACCTAATCGATTCATGATTGTTTTTTTTTCTTGATCAAATTGTGTGTGCATTGCAAGTCATTTCATCCAGATAGCTAGAAAACTACTTGATCTCGTGAAAAATCACAGTGAAACAGCAGACAGCTTAAGCCAAATGACAATAGCTGAAGCTGGAAAAATCGCTGACAATCTTTTCAACGACCACGGGTCGCATTGAAATAACTATGACAACGCTGTATTGGCGTGTTTACTACGAGTGACGCATATGTTTCTTAGTCATTCGCCAATCGCGTAGGTATGTCATAAGCCGTCGTTACAGTGTTGTTGTGCTGTGTTTGTTACCATTTTAGGACTTTTGTGTTTCAATTATTGATTATCAGTGCATTCTTGTTTTGAACTATATAAAGACAATCATTAACAGTCTATTATGGTTCGCCAGTGCATGGATTGTGAAAAAGTTCACCATTCAAACCCCAGATTGGTATTTCGACGGTAACTATAAGGTTATGTTTCTTTCAACTTGAGCAGTGGTGTACCTAGTTATCGCACGTTATATAACTAAATTGTTGCAAGAAACGTTGTTTCTTTCGTTCAAATTCCACTGAATGGTGGATCAAAATTAGATAAGTATATACCTGGTAGGTACTACGAATATTTGGTATTAAAATTAATAGGTTATGCCAAAACAATCCAAACATTTTCTAATTGGTATAGTAGCGATTTCATTGTAGTAAAAGTGTCTTGCCCCCTCGACTAGTAAATAAAAGTATTAACATTGACGCATAATTTACAGCGTTGCCATTTCTAAAATCCATCTCTAACTTATTTGGAACTTTGGAAGTATGTATGATTGTAAACAAATAGTGTTTTATGAATGACATTTTATGTCTCCCCCCTTTTTTTATGTCTATGGTCCATCTTATTAGTGTAAAAAATCAAGGCTACTAGATCATTACAGAAAAACAAAAGTGATATGGCACTAAACAATTTCGAATATTTTTCACAAATTCACTTATACTCACTTCTATTTTATTCGGTTCACTAGCAACTGTTCCGTTTAAAACCAGCCCTTTTTGCATTGATTCCTCGAAAAATCCATCTAGTTTCTCTTCGTCGTGCCTTTCGTTGCTGCCAGCAGTTTCTATCATTAAATAAAATGGATAGTCTCCTATAGGAGAACACTGATGGTTCCTTTCTTTGATAAAGTCCATCGTCGTGTCGTCCATAACCTCAATCGCCGACAAGATTTCGCCCAATTTCACTTTAGCTAGCCTGAAGGTTTTCAGAACTTTTTCGAAGTTTTGTAATCCTGGAAAAACAGTTAATTTTTATTTGTTTCTCATCCTATCCGATGATGATACTCAAGTTGATTTGGAATTCTATAATTTTTCCAACGTTTCGGTAAACTGATGAGTACCCATCTTCAGGCTCTATGAACATATGATGGGAAATTCATATTCTACGCGGTTTCAGTTGCTATGATGGAGTGGTTCATTGAAAAACGCGTTTTTTGTGTGCAGACCTATTTGTCGAACGCTCGCTCAATCGTCCGTGTGCAGCATGGCTTCCGTTCAAGGTTCAATAACTCTCTCCGCGGTCGAATTATCGATAAAATCGAATTATCTTGTGGGTTAATGCATTTCAGGAATTGGAATTCTTTTGGTGAAGTTCGGTATAATGCTATTGTACAAACAACTGGAGTTCCTTGGAATTCCTTATTAAATTTTCTTGAAATTTCATGGTTTTCCTTGAAATTCCTTGGATTTCCTTGGAGTTCCTAGGATTTAATTGGAATTCCTTAGATTTCCTTGGAATTTCTTGGATTCCCTTGGAAATCCTTGGATTTTCCTGTAATTTCTTGGATTTCCTTAGAAATCCCTGAAATTCCTTGGGGTTTTTTGTAATTCTTTGTGTGAAGTGCGGTATGATCCTGGTGTACAAACAATGGTAATTCCATGAAATTCCTTGAAAATTCTTGGAATTCCATGGAATTCCTTCTGAAATTGAAGTTGGTGTTCACAATTCTGACCGCGGTTCACTCTTTGACTCAAACATGCTAGAAAACCTGAAGATGATACTAATCAGCATCGAAACTTTTAAATTCACGGCATTAAAATAATATCGTGATACTTAATCAACTTCATGAAATATTCGTATGAATATTTGTTTTACCTAAGAATGCGACATTTCTTGATGTAGGTCGAGATGGACACTGCAGAGAAACTTTGGTGACGATTCCTAATGTGCCTTCAGATCCTATGAAGAGATGTTTGAGGTGGTAGCCTGTATTGTCTTTTTTCAAAGAACTCAGGCAGTCTACTATGGTTCCATCAGCTTTTACCTTGAAAAGATCACGAAATTCAGAATGAGACAACAAAATAACATCAAATTTTATGAATGAAATGTATCCTCCATCTTCAATGGAGAAGTAAACGTATTTTTTATTTGAATCTTGACATAAATAGATTCAAAATTAACATTTTAATTTGGAAGATTTTGAACGAGATTAGTAAATGAAATTTGGCACACAGTGCTCACATTTTTACTTTACTTTCTATTACACAGGGCGTTTCAGAGTTGTGGTGACAAAAGCCTAGGAATGATTCCTCTCAACAAAATATGAAAGAAGTTTATATGAACATGGGTTCGAAAATGCTTCGTTCCCGAGATACAGGGTGTCTAAGTTTTAAAAAAATAGTTTTTCATTAATATCTTGTAATACACTTAAGACGATTTGGATGAAATTTTCATGATTTATATTGTTCATACTGGATTCGTCGATTATGCCTGAAAATTCATCAATTGCTCTATTCCGGAAATAGACAATGATTCGAATTATTCCAATATTGAATTTCTGTGGATACAATAAATCTATGATATTTGAAAACGGGAGCAGATTTGTTCCCCAAACGTCCAAAGCTAAGTGAAAATTTGATATTTCTTCTATATACCTCTATTTCTCTTCTCCAAACCGTTTTCAATACATATTGTCACTGACAAAAGCTTGTGAATTTTTTAGGTTCTCTGATAGGAAAATTCTTTAAACGCAGTGACATTTTGAGGCAAATTATCTGATTTGTCCTTACTACACGTATATTGAAATAATATTCATATTTTCATTTTATAGAAACGAGGAGAGAAAATCCCAAAAAATATGGAATAATGAATGTACCACCTTCTCGATTAACCTACAGACAGTATTTAACTAAAATGTCGAATACAAAAATTGTTGAAAATCTACAGAAATTTTTGAAAATATAAAAATAAATGAATTGCATAATTTTAAACTCTCACATCTACTCCGTTGAACTTACCACCTCAAGTCCGAGTACATTTCCATGCATATTTCCGTATCTGAGCAACCTCATCCCCCCCGCATTTGTGGAAACGTTCCCCCCTATATGGCAGGACCCCTTCGCGCCGATATCCAACGGCACTATGAAACCCCTTTTCGCCAAAAAGTCATCCAGATTTTCCAAAATACATCCTGCCTGGCACGTCAAAATACCTACAATGAAAACACGTCATTAGAAATTTGAGAGAGAACCTATACATTCTTATGTATGGGTCCTTCCATTAAATCCCATCAAATTTTTTATCATTTTTATTTATTTTTTCTTCATTTTTTCTTATCAGGTAGTTTATACTATTATTCTAGATTTTTTTTTTAACTTTTCATATATGTACTTGTTGCTAGAACGGCATCCATGTTCAAGATACAGGGAGAAAAAAAATTATCATAGAGGACGCTATACACTGTTTGTACCGAGTAGTATTAAATATTTGAATACATTTTGATTATTACCCACTATCCCACTGAACATATTCCAGTATCAGAAACGTTTTAGAAATGTATTTCGGATATCTGAAACCTTTCCACTCAAGTCTCTCTGAAGTTTCAACGAACGTTCCAGAGAATGAAAAAATAAATATCCTACCTCAGTGAAGTTTCTGTCCTGGACACGTTTCATAATGGTTTCCAATTTTGTATAGTTTTATAAACTCTTCAAAGAAAGTGGATATGGTGTTGAAATATAGATACATAGACAGTAGAAACAGACAAATTTATTAGGTACTACTAATTCTCATTTTACAACAGTAGGCAATTACCCATCACATAGATGTGAGAAATACAAAACGCAAATAGTCTAATCAAGTCCACACTAACTAATATCTCTGAAACACAATATACTGTCCCAAAAACGGCGAAAGAATATACAGCCAACCAACATAATTCGATTGCCAAAAGGCTGGATCCTACCTTTTATGTAAACAGCTTATTCTCATCATGACGGTAATCCGTGCCGTTCACGAATAGCATTCACATTTCGATCGGATGTAGAATCATTCTCGATAAAATACTTTGTGAATCCGGATGACCCTTTTTGGCTCCTCGAAACTAAGCAACTGGATACGATGGATCACAAATTAACTATCAGGTTTGACTACCACTGCCAAGCACATACATTCAGAAATCAGAAACAGTGACTAGGTATTTCGCAAACTCAAAATGGGATTGTAGCAGTATTTGGCGATTGAGTGTTGTTGAGCTCACGCTCATTTGACGCTGTCTAAGCTATCATTGACTCTCGTCTCGTTTCAGTCGACTCCCTCTCTGACCGTCTTGTACCGATACCGATCCTTCCCCTTCCCGCATTCACACCCGCGTCTCCTATCCATCACAAGTTTCCTTAGCAACAAGAAATTCGACAAACGAAATACATATTACTCGGTCCCATCTATACATTTTGAGGCGAGATACTGAGGTTTAGGGATAAACAATATTGAAAATTGAATAAGCGTTGAAGTAAAATATAACTATGAGTAGAGTTCAACATTGATGGCGTGGTATAGTAGCAGCAGCAATTTTTTGATTTGGGATTTTCTAGTGATAGGTATTTATATGATGTAAAATAGGTGTAGGCAACACAACAAAAAACGTATAACATCAGTAGAAGCAGCATTAGAACATAAATTCTTACATGGGTGCATTTTTCTTGAAATGTTTCATTTTGGTTTCGTTCAAACGTTCTTGCAACTGAAAAATATTCGGAAACCTGGACGAAACGTCTGAGTTACGTTTCAATCAGTCCACAATTGGGAAAAATTGAAATGTTTCTGGAAGATTTCATGTTAAGTGGGTAATTAACTTATTGTCAACAATATTTGATATTATTGTGCTAATCATCATTAAAAATCAGTTTTCCATCATGGCTACCAAAAACAAAACAGTTTAAGGGTTTGCGAAGAACGACGAACCCTAAACTTCTCTAATTGAGAACATTTTGTAAACTTATTGATTGATTTTTCCTAGTTTCCAGTCAAATTTATCAATTCTCTTCTTGTGAGTTTTCAATAAATACCTACCTATACTTGGAAGTTGTTTTCACTTTATATTCACTTTTCACTAGCATCATCAGTAGCATATGGTTTTAATTTCATGATTTCCAAATCAAAATATTCCGAAAATGGTATACAGTATTGAGTTTTGCCAAGAGTATCTTTTTGGTATTGACTTGAATGATTTTTAAGTTCACGTAAAATTTGGATTAGAACATCTAACCTCAGAAAGTTATGTTTCAATACTACTCACTACGAACCGTGTATCTAGCGCCCTCTAGAAGAGTAAGTGCGATATAAAAACAAATTCATGCGATATTTCAGCTTCCAAAACATTCATAAAAAATTCAATTGGAATGGAACCAGTAAGTTCAACATAATTGTGAAAAATGTGCACAAAATATTGTTTCCCACAGCCTTTGTTACAATTTTTTTTAAGCAAACCCAATACATTTTGCAGTGCTCTATACCTTTCGTAGCAACGAGGCCACTTTTTTAAAACACGTTGTATGTAATGAGTGTAATTGCAGATGAATAAATACCTGAATTATCATCCATGCTGATTATATCATTCATCAACTCTGTGGATATGATAATCTCATCGAAAACCGGCACAGCTGCTCCAACAACGTTTGTGTTGCCCCCTTGCGGGCAAACAGCCAATCTCTCTTTATTGCAAAAGGATAATATTCTCGAAACTTCTTCGGAGTTTTTCGGTTTCAATACCACAGAACTACAACCTGAAATACGGAGATGAATGAACTGAACAAGTACCTAACGGGAAATTTTCTCAATTTTTCTCATAAGGGATTTATTTTCGTTCGATCCAGAAGATTTAAAAAAAAATCAACAATACCCATCTACTAGTTTCCGAAGTTGATACATTGGATCACTTTGAGTATAGATGATTACTATGAATTTTTATTATACAGGGTGTCCGCTAAAAGGAGGTCAATCCATTAACCATATATTCCTTGAACAAAAACAATATGAGTTTCTAAATACCATTTTTCATTTTAGCCCTTCATATCCGATATACAGGGTGTCAAAGTTAAAAATTAAAAACTGTTTTTTTTTAATTACTCGCGTATTTAATGAGATATCAATCTCAAAATCGGTACATTACTCCAGTACAAAGAGTTACATCGCGTAAGGAGAACAAAATAGAAAATAACTGTCAAATATTCAAAATACGGGGGGTCAAGTACACACTTACCCCCTTTTTTTTTTGTACGTGCGCTAATGACTTCCTATCTATTTTTCTTCAAGTGTTCAATCATTTTTGAGTATTTTTTGTCTCTTGTAAAATTTCGATAAAATCATTTGTTTTCAAGATAATTCGAAAAGTAGTGGTTATTGTTTGATGCCAATGCGGCTTACGGTAAACTCATAATGTTCACATACTCCTATTTATTACGTCGAAATTGGAAGAGGGCGTAAATTTTTACGTACGAAAAGGTGAATATGGAAATAGCGGGTGCTCAGAGCGAATGTATTAGAATAATTTTAACAAAAAAAATTTATAAAAATTCAACACGTCCAAATAAATTGCTCGTTATGACCTCCAATTTTTTGAATACACATGCGAGCCCTTTACATTTAAGAAAATCTTAGCCTTTGAAAAATATGTGGCATATACACAAAATCTTTCATACATCCCCAGACATTCCTGATCTGCTATTTCTTTCATCAAGTAGCTATTAAAATCATGGATATCATAATTTCACCTGAAATTTCCGAAAATATTTTTTTTTTATTTTTTCCGATTTTGTTTCCTGTTTGTTCGCGCCCGACATACCATACGGGGGGGGGGAGGTTGGAAATTTTTTTAAAAAAATTCCGCATTCCCCAAAACCGCTCAAACAGATTTAAACAAAAAAAAAATTTGCTGTAAGAATTATTCCAATACATTCGTTCTGAGCATCCGGTATTTCCATATTTACCTATTCGTACGTGAAAAGTTACGCTCTCTTCCAATTTCGACGAAATAAATAGGAGTATGTGAACATTATAAGTTTACCGTAAGCCGCATAGGCATCAAACAATAACCAGTACTTTTCGAATTATCTTGAAAACGAATGGTTTTATCGAAATTTTACGGGAGACAAAAAATACTCAAAAATGATTGAACACTTGAAGAAAAATAGATAGGAAGTCATTAGCGCACGTACAAAAAAAATATGGGGGTTAGTGTGTACTTGACCCCCAGTATTTTGCATATTGGACAGTTATTTTCTGTTTTGTTTTCCTCACACGATGTAACTCTATGTACTGAAGTAATGTACCAATTTTTAGATTGATATCCTATTAAATTCGCGAGTAATTGAAAAAAAACAGCTTTTAATTTCCAACTTTGACACCCTGTATATCGAATATGAAGGGCTTAAATGAAAAATGGTATCTAGAAACTCATATTGTTTTTGTTCAAGGAATATATGGTTGATGGATTGACCTCCTTTTAGCGGACACCCTGTATATCGGTATTTAAATATTTTGTCTGACATGATCTCTGAATTTCACATATTATACAGGGTATGTCTCGACGAGCTCACACTATCTTTATATCGAGAATCAGTCGAGAGAAATCCATGAAAATGTGCATGCTTATATTTTAGAATACGCTGTTTTCATTAAAAACATTTTCGACAATGCAGTGTTGCCGCTTCTACTAGAAAGTAGTAGCAACATTGATGTTTCAAATGGAACAACCTGTATTTTACCGCATATTTAGATTCTCCCTGAAGAGCTGATTTTATCGATACATCACACTTGGGGTCTATCGAGGACGATTACAGAGATATAGGGTGTTCAAAATCGAGATTTTTCAACTATAGGATTTTTTTGTGTCGAAACTATACATTATCGGTCAAAACGGCTCATATGTCCCTATCTCAACTTTTGATTCACTATTCACTGATATTCAATCGGACCAGATACAGGATGGTTCAACATTCAGGATTCTGATCACCCTGTATCTGTTCCGATTAAATATCAGTAATTAGTAAATTGAAAGTTGAGACAGGGACATGTGAGCCGTTTTGGCCGATAATAAATAGTTTCGACACAAACAAATCCCTAAGTTGAAAAATCTCGATTTTGAACACCCTATATATCTCTGTAATCATTTCTGATAGACCCCAAGTGTGACGTATCGATGAAATCAGCACTTCAGGAAGAATCTAAAAATGCAATAAAATACAGGGTATTCTATTTGGATTAATAAAGTTGTTGCTACTTTCTGATAGAAGCTGCAACACTGCATTGCTGAAAACATTGATAACATGAAGATAGCGTATTCTAAAATATATAAGCATGCATATTTTTATGGATTTCTCCCGACTGATATAGAGATAGTGTAAGCTCGTCGTGACATACCCTGTATAGTCTCCGTTTTGGGATATTTTCTGATTTATGTATCTAATCCGGTTTTATCCAAAATATAAAGCTTAGATAACTGGACATTATTGATTCATTAATATGCGACTGAAGTTCTTGTTCATAATGACTACTAATTTTGTTGATAGTGTTGATGATAAACACTCAATAATGAGATAATGAATGTTGTTTTCAAAGTAAGTATGTTATAATATCGTTGTTGTTATTTACAGCATTGATGCCTTGATTTACCTTAAATCTCGCCTTAAAACAGCAAAAACTAGTACGAATAAAACAATCAAAGACATTTTATATGTCTTTTCCTTTTCATTGATGGGTGTCGTGATATTATTTCTGAAATCTAGTGTTCTCACATTGTTCTTTTGGTATCTAGGATTTGACGAAATTATACGTTACTATAGATAAAACCTTACACCATTCTGATTAAACATTGTTTATGGTTCTTCCAGGGAAAACAAGGAAAGTGAGAAATTAATCAACATAGAACAAACCTCTTACTTGCAAGAACCAGTCCACATTGTATTTTTCCAAGTCTGATAAATCCATAACGACTCTATTGTCGCCCAGTAAACTTCGGAAATATTTGACATGTTCATCGAGTAGATGATTATAATCGCCTCTGGAAACTTGAAATGTGTTCTAAAAAAATATTTCAAACAGACAAACAAAAAATACACTCACCGGCAAAAAACCGACCACTATAAAGTTTTGCCAAATTGTTCGTCCAGTAACTTTTTCAATTCTTGTCCGATTTTGGTGAAATTTCTACCAAATCGTACATTCATGTTTCAAAATATTGGCCTGAATATCATTGCCTGAGAGAAGCTGATGGCTTGATCATTATACAGGGCAATACAAAAGTCACTATCTCACCCTCAACTTCTTAACACCCTGTGGCAAAGGTGAGTGGTTGAACTTAGCTTCATCATGTTTTCGAGTGATGTGTGATCCCTTCTTAACACAATGATTTTTGATTTATATCCCTGAAATGATACCCACATTATTTGAAAGTAATCACTACATATCACTTAACAGAAACTGGCTCACTCCTTATACAGTGTGTCCCACTTACCATGCTCACCATGGGTATCTTTTTAACGGTGAGAGATACGAGGTCGGTCAAATGACACCAAATGTGGAGTTTGTCAAGGCCAACTATAATGTGAAAAAATATTTTGATAAAATCTATTCGTTTTTGTTTTATACGCAAAAAAACAGATTTTCATCATTTTCATGTCTCCTCCGTAACTTCTTTATTTATGAAAATATTCAAATAGGAATTTCACATTCTCATGGCAGTTTTTTGAAGTGATTTCGAAAAAAATATGGAATTTATACCAATTTTTCTAGAATTTGAGATATCAGCACCAACTTCAGTTTTTCAAATGTAGGTCATAGCTCACTATGGCTTAGTTACAAATAACTTTTTCTTCTCTCACAGATGATATGTCGCATTTATTGTTTTGTGTTGATAACAACGGTGTTATCGTCATTTATACAAAAACAAAAAATTATTTTGAAGCCGCCATCTTGAATTTATAAATTTTAACGAAAAAATCATGATCTCCGACCTCAAAAACCCCCACTTACCAATTTTGAATGGAATCGGATCAAATCTTGTCCGCCATCATGGAGCAGCCATTTTTTTTTATTTCAACAAAAATTCCATAATGTATTGTCACCGAAAATATGAACACCTGCCAAATTTCAAGTCAATCGGAGTCATGGAATTTTTGTTGAAATTAAAAAAAATGGCTGCTCCAAGATGGCGGACAAGATTTGGTCCGATTCCATTCAAAATTGGTAAGTGGGGGTTTTTGAGGTCGGAGATCATGATTTTTTTGTTAAAATTTATAAATTCAAGATGGCGGCTTCCAAATAATATTTTGTTTTTGTATAAATGACGATACCTCCGTTGTTATCAACACAAAACTATTACTGCGATATATCATCTGTAAGAGAAAAAAAAGTTATTTGTAACTAAGTCATAGTGTGCTATGACCTACATTTGAAAAACTAAAGTTGGTGCTGATATCTCAAATTCTAGAAGAGTTGGTATAAATTTCATATTTTTTTCTAAATCACTTTGAAAAACTGCCATGAGAATGTGAAATTCCTATTTGAATATTTTCATAAATAAAGAAGTTACGGAGGAGACATGAAAATGATCAGAATCTGTTTTTTGCGTATAAAACAAAAACGAATAGATTTTTATCAAAATATTTTTTCACATTAAAGTTGGCCTTGACAAACTACACATTTGGTGTCATTTAACCGACCTCGTATCTCTCACCGTTAAAAAGATACCCATGGTGAGCATGGTAAGTGGGACACACTGTATCTTTTGCCAAATATGGAGGTAACAGAGTTGCGACATTCTAGTGTATTTTTGAAGAACGGTTCAGTATTCATCAGAATATAAACAAATATTCAGGAGTAACAACACAAGATATTTCGAATTATTTTTGAATGGCGGGAAATTGAGATGTCACTTTTGGATGCGCACTCCTTATTCCATTTATGATCATTTATCAGCACTTCTTAAGTTGGAAGTTGGTCATCTTCTTATATCCAAAATGTTAAATCATAAGTCTTAAATGGTTACATAACAAAACCAATGATCCTTCCATGTTCCATCTGTCACAAGTGATAAGCCTTGAATGTTAGGTGATAAATCTCAAGTCTTGAAGTTTTTTATTAAGTGGCCTTGAGTGATATTAATTCCCAAAGTTGTTAATTAATAAGTATATGTAGGTTCTGATTATTGTTAATAAAAATTTAAAAATGACATACTTTCTTAGAACACTAGTATCTTCTCTTCAGAATAAAGTCATGACGTGAATCAAGAACTATTCTGTCAGGAAAGGATCACACTTCAATCCAAAAAATGATGAAGTCAAGGTCAACCACTCATATTCGCCACAGAGCGTTAAGAAGAATAGGGCTAAAGAGTAACTTTGGGTTTTCCCTGTATAATAATCAAGTCATCAGCTTTTCACGGAAACTAATATTCAGGCTAACCTTCTGGAACATGAATCTACGATTTGATCGAAATTTCACAAAAATCGGACAAGTATTGAAATAGTTACAGGGTGAAAAATTTGGGCCTATTTTTTGGTGACCGGTTTTTTTTTGCCGGTAGTGTATATGATGAAAACTATAACACAAGCCTATTCTAGATTTTTGTTCTTACCTTAGTGAAATCGGGTTTAGTGCGGATATTTCTCCTGTTCACCCCAAGAGATTTTCTCACACAAATACGCACTTGTTGAGTATTGCACAGTTTCGAAAACATTTCAAATATTATTTATTAGTACCCACTTTTGTTGTACACCAATTCTTCACCAGTGAATATTATTCAAGTATATTCCTCTATCTTTTTTCTCTCTTCCTATCTCCCTAAAGGTCGCGCCACAATGTCAATAAATAAACAATAGGAACTTATAAAACAGTGATTATCTAGTTTTAGTTATCAGTCACTATAATATGTATAACTTTAATCGACTTTTTGAACCAATCTAGGACCTATATTATTCCTTGTTTTTATTATCAGTGTGACAGTGTTTCTGTGCCTTTACTGTATACACAATGATTATTATGTCCATTATAATATCATTATATGCGCATTTATTTACCTACTGCTTAATGCGATGGTGTAACTTAACGTTCAGGGTCATTGATATAATCACTTCATATTGGGTGCGGCTTACAATAAAATTATAATTAGTTGTTGAGCATGTTAATAAAATAATAATAATGATAGTAGGTAATGATTCTAAGTATTTAGTTTTTCATGTTTAATTTCCTTTTTTGTGCAAAATATAATGATATCATCTCAATATAGTATCAATATTTCGATAAAATTTTATATCGGATGAGTTCCACAAATAAATTGGACCTATATACCGGGTGATTTTTTTGAATTCATACCCATAATTTCAGAATTAATAATAGGAAAAGTCGAAAAAAACTTCGATTGGCTTCACTGGATGAGATTATGTTCTCATTGTTATCTGCTTATGTTTTTATTCATGGTATATACAGAGAAGTGCACAAAAAACTGCCAGGATTGTAACTTTTGAATTATTCTAGATAGCATTTTGAAAATAAGTGGGTAGCAAATATACCACCTTGCTCATTAAATGATGAAACAATTTTTCTTCCATCACTTCCAGTTTCACCGGAAACGACCCCAACTTTTTATTTTCAAATCGGACACCCTGTATTGTATTCCATGATCGGTTAGGAATTGTCATAACGAATTCAACGATACCGGGTTTGATAGGGTTATTTCAAACAATTACAAAGATATTTGCGTTCAAAGTTTCCATATTATATGCTCAATGGGTGTGACTTCGCAATATCAAAACTACTTTCTCTGTCATACTCATTGAGCATATGGAAACTTTAGAACGCGAATATCTGCGTAATCGTTTGAAATAACCCTATCAAACCCGGTATCGACGAATTCGTTATGACAATCCCTAACCGATTATGGAATACAATACAGGGTGTTGCAAAATCTCGATTTTGAACACCCTATATCTCTGTAATCATTCCCACTAGACCACAAGTGTAATACATCAATGAAATCAGCTCTTCAGACAGAATCTAAAAATGCAATAATATATAGGGTGTCCTATTTGAAAAAACCCATCATCAACCTATATCACGAAACCCTATAACTGTTGTATTTGAATTTTTGCTCTTGACATAGTACATATAATCAGCACATGGATATGATACAGTCTAACGAATATTCCTATGATATCAGATATTTCCCAACTCTTTAGAGATTAACAAGATATTACATCCCGAAAATTTAACGAAAAACGAGAAAAAAATCATGTATGCCAATTAAAAACAATTTAAATGATTGAAATCCGCGTGATTGTGCCTTCTGCATGAAAATTTGAACAGAGGTGACGTCAGAATTGCTACAGTGTGGAACTTTGGGTGGAAAAAGGAGTCTAAACTCAAATTTCATTTTGATCCCTATTATTGGTGCCAGTCGATAGTATGTACGTTGAGCTTACTCAAGGCTTGAAATATTTGCACTTATTTCAATGCCACCTTGTATATCTGACAGTTCGGCTAATATCGAAGAAGATCACACTATTGACTCATCCTGTATATGGTAGTTTAAGAAATGAATTTTATTTCAGGTATTCCTTCCAGAGCTTCAACGAATCTTTTGTCATAAGGAATAAAATCTTTTTCAGCTTCACCAAATGGCACCAATGGCAAAAACAAAAAAGTATCAGATAGTCAAGTCCTTCAAAGGTGTCATTATAGGCATATTCATCAATGGGGCTGTACATAATAGTCGAATTTACGCAACATACCTATTTTATATTGATCATGCCATTTATAATACTATTATATAGATACTATTTAAATAGTATCTTATTCAATCATTCGTTTTTAAAAGCATCGCAAATATATATGTTTTCCAATAATTAAATTCGGCGACTTCGAAAAATGCCAGGTTCGATGACGTCATGAACCGAATTCTGGCTTTCGCATAAAAAGTAGAACCACATATTTCGACGCTGCCAGATTTGTAACTAGTAATTACCTTATGAGAATCAATATGACCACTGACAATTTTATTCACGTTCACAGAAGACAATAGTTCGACCTGGTCCCTAATAATCACTTATTGAATACTTATATACTTGTAAGATTGTTCAGTAACAATAAAAATACCCTATTATTCCTAATAATGATCGAGATTTTATTTGATCCCAAATTATTTTGTGGCACGGGCAACAGTGTAACGTCTAAGTTCCCAGAAATACAAAAAAGAAGAAGAAGACAACCTAACATCCTGACATTACGCTGTCACCTTCATCGTCAAATCCTTATTGGTTCATCTAGTCGAGATGCGAATTTTCAAAGACAAAATAAGTACATTGTCAACCAAACTTCCTGACGTTAATATCGGCTGTCACCTTCATCGTCAAATCCTTGTTTCTTCTAGTCAAGATGCGAATATTCAAAGATGATCCTCATATTATCTGATTCTTTAGTTGCGTGTTGGGTGCTGTCATCTGCAGTGAGTATTCAATCCAGGAACTGATTCCCAGAAATACAAACAAAGAAGAAGAAGACAACCTCCTGGCGTTACGCTGTCACCTGCATCGTCAAATCCTTGGTTCATCTAGTCGAGATGCGAATATTCAAAGATAATCCTCATATTATCTGATTCTTTAGTTGCGTGTTGAGTGCTGTTATCTGCAGTGAGTATTCAATCCAGGAACTGATTCCCAGAAATGCAAAAAAGAAGAAGACAAACTAGAATGTCAACCTAACTTCCTGACGTTAATATCGGATGTCACCTGCATCGTCAAATCCTTGTTTCATCTAGTAAAGATGCAAATATCCAAAGATAATCCTCACATTATCTGATTCTTTAGTTGCGTGTTGAGTGCTGTTATCTGCAGTGAGTATTCAATCCAGGAACTAATTCCCAATTCCCAGAAATACAAAACAAAGAAGCCAAACTAGAATGTCAACCTAACTTCCTGACGTTAATATCGGATGTCACCTGCATCGTCAAATCCTTGTTTCATCTAGTAAAGATGCAAATATCCAAAGATAATCCTCACATTATCTGATTCTTCAGTTGTGTGTTGAGTTCTGTTATTTGCAGTGAGTATTCAATCCAGAAACTGATTGAAATGACAATCAGAAATATTCTTGCACTTGTCCATCCGAAATAGAGAATGGATACGAGAGTCAAATCTTATTATGGTTGCTAGTTAGGCTTGGTACTTCGAATTTATGAAATTTTTTTTCACTGAAACAGGTCCATTTTCTTCTGTGAAAAAATATGTTCTCATGTCTGCTGCCCATATTTTTTTTATATATTCAAATATATTTATAAATAAATAATGTATAATTTGTTCCTTACAACATACTTTCTATTTCCCTTTTTTCCCGATTGGTGGCAACACTTTATAGGGATTCAGGATTCCTTTGGGATCCATCATCGTCTTCAGTTGCCTCATCATCTCGATGGCTTCTTTGCTCTTCGAGTAGTGCACGTACTTTGGTTTTCTGAACCCGACACCGTGCTCAGCGCTGATACTACCTCTCAGCTTAGCCGTGTACTCGTACACGAACGGCTCCACTTTGCTGAGCACCTCTTGCGTGAATTCTTTCACGGTGACGTTGAAGTGGATGTTGCCGTCACCTGAAAACACAAGAACATCGTCAGTGTATACAGGGTGGGCCATTAGTGCGTCGGCGGAGCTCGATTGCTAGAAACTTAATTCAAAAACGAAATGTCAATGAGACAACAAGGTCCGGATCGCTTTTTTTTAATGAAATGCATCATATATTAGAACATTTTTTGAAGCATTCATATGGCCTCCATACATTGTTGATTATTTCTCGATAATTTCAGTTATCATTTTTTTTGTCGAAATAATGTCATCTGCAGATCCATAACGGAAAAATCACTGTAATCACAATCATGATGAAGTTCAAGAGATAATTATCATAATGTCATTTGCTGTGAAGATGCGTGATATTTCTGTGGAATTTTCATGACCTCAAATTATACAGGGTGACTAAAAATGATTTTTCAATGCGGAACTTTTGGGGAGTGATTTTCCTCGAGTTTTTCAAATGGAACACCCCATATATTTTAGGCCATTTAAACACAAACATCTTTTATCTGAATATCCATATTGATATTCGTAACCATTTTTGGTTTATTGAACTTTGAAAATTCCAGGTTGACCATTTTCGTCGATACACATTCTTATCTGTTATAAAACATCAAAAGTCCAATCAATAAATCAGTAAACTGTTCTGAAAATAATTTCAATAAAATATCAACATTATATAGGAAATCATTTAACAAAAACATATTCTTTAGAGTAGAGTAGAGTAGATTTATTCCCAGACAGCACTGGATATTCATAGAATATTCTCTAAATATGCTAAAAAGGAGGAGTATATTCCGAATATTCATCGATTATTTCTAGAATATATACATACCATTGGAACATCTAAAAGGTATATTCCAAAGTGAATAGTCGGACATGTTCAGGGAATATTCAGGTATGAATCTTCCAGGAATATTCCCAACTGAATATTCTCTGTTGTATATTCATGAAATATACCCAACTGAATATTCTGTGCGGTATATTCATGAAATATACCCATCTGAATATTCTATGCGGTATATTCATGAAATATTCTCAACTGAATATTCGGTGGTGAATATTCATGAAATATTCCATGAATATTCCTTTGTTTCTCAACACATAAATACCATTTATTATTTCAGACATATGAGTATCGAACATCAATTAGATGTAAGGGGATTTTGAAACAAAAAGTGTTTATGATCCGATTTCGAACAGTGCTCTCACAAGAACTTGATATGTATAACATTGTTCAATTCGATTACTGGCCTAGTGGTTAAGGCGTTGCTCTGATAGTCTTGAGGTCACGAGTTCGATTCCTACTTGGGTCACTTTTTTTAATTTTAGAATATGTTTATTGGAATATTCCAGGAACATTCAACATAGAATATTCTTTTGGGTATATTCTATGATTATCTGAGGAATTCCCATTCGCATATTTAGAGAATATTCCACAGATATACCGGAATATTCCAGATTATTTCTAGACTATTCCAATATTCCAAAAGGAATATGATAGGGAGATTCATGGAATATCTGGTGCTGTCTGGGTTTGATCACGTTACAATTGAGATGTTTGTGACAAGTCATGATTTCGGTAGAACTAAATAGAACTTATATTATTATAGAATGAGCAGTAAAACATTATACAGATTAAGTTTGAAAACAAGATTTTAAAAAACTTTACTTTAGATTTAACACACAGAGACAAGTATTCATAAAGACAGTATAATTCAAAACAATACAAAATGTTTTCACCCTAGCACTTCACTGGCAAATATAATTATATTCTTCGATATTATAAAAACAATTTTTTGTTAGGAACTCTTTGATGTAAGTCTTAAATTGACCGATCGCCATGCACCTCACTGTATCAGGAAGGACATTATATAGATTATAATTGAGAGAGTTTTTCTTGCTGACATCAAGTCTAAACCTTTGAGGTCTGACCATTGATGCATTACGGGTGTTATAGCGGTGGATATCTGACAAAGAGAATCTTTTTGACTATGAATTTGAATCAATGTGTTGAATATGAAGATTGCCGGGAGTGGCATTATGTCCAATTTCGTGAAGAGAGGACGACAGTGTTCACGGGGACCAACTTTGGATAAAATTCTTATTGCCTTTTTTTGGAGCCTAAAGACTTTTATGGAATCAGTGGAGTCCCCCCATAGGACAGTGCCATAGGAGATGACTGTGTGAAAAAGTGAAAAGTATGCCGTTCTTTGAAATTCTAGACTTGTCAGCCAACTGAGTTGTCTAAGTAAAAAAAGCACACTGGCTAGTTTCCTCTGAATAAAATCGATGTGGTTGCGCCATGAAAGTTTAGTATCAAGTACAATTCCCAGAAAATTTGCATTCGCAGTAATTTGGAGCATTGTGTTTGTTGAAAAAATTAGTTTTTGTGTTTTCTGTTCATTTAAAGAAAGTTTATTCATTGAAAATCATGTTTCAGCTTTCCTCATGAGATTGTCTTGATCAATTATCAGAGAATTGTAGGAGTTATGGCGATTTATCAAGGTAGTGTCGTCCGCAAAGAGAATGCAATTATTTTGGGGTGAGACAAAATCACAGAGATCATTTATATAGACTAAAAACAGGAGTGGACCCAAAACTGAGCCTTGGGGCACCCCATGCTTGATAGGGATAGTTTCAGAGCTGGTATTATTTGCCCAGACATATTGACATATGTTTTCTAAGTATGATTTTATCAATGAAAGAGGTGTCCCCCTGACTCCATAGTAGTTGAGTTTCTCGATCAAAATATCGTGAGAGACACAGTTAGAAGAACTGTACAGAATATTAGAGACTCTGAAAATTTCATACAATATCATAAATAAAAAATTGAGATCTAATATTATTTTGACAAGAAATTTCACCTTGATGCAGCTAGTTCTACACTCGGACAAAAAAGATTCATTCATGCAGCCTTATCTGAGTTCAATAAACTACCAGATGAAATTAAAGAATTCTTTTCTTCAATCATTGATTGTTTTGTTTTATTGTGATTTTTTGTGATATCCTGATTTATTATGATTTATTATTCATGTTCACTTCTACTCATGTTTGCGTAGTAGTTCAGAGATATTTATTACTTATTATTTTATAATTATGTTCTTCCTTATACCAGAACTTGTTCTATATGTTTGATAAATAAATAAATAAATAAAATAAATGAATTGTGTTGAATGCCAAGACGATGAAATTCTAAATGAAGTGGAGTGATAACTTCATCAACTTATATTTCGTTGATTGAGGCGAAGAAAACCGAAAATTTGGAAATTTTATTTTATTTTTTCTGGCTTCATTAATCAAAGGATTTCAACATGGTGTTTTCAGATTTGCTATCCGACGTTTCGTCTTCCGGCCACCATCATCAACTTTATTGTTTTCAATGGGCGCCATACTTACTGTTTTGTATAAATCGAAGATATTGAATATGAATTTCTATTAATATTTAAAATCAAATTTCCATACCTACGTGTCCGTATCCGCATACTCTCAAAGCATCATCACCGAGCCTTTCCGACATCACAGGCACCAAAGAGTAGAAATGCTCAGTCGGAAGCGATATATCGTACTTGAACACGTATCCATCGTGCATCAGTCCTTCTGTGATGCTTTCCCTCAAATCCCATATGGACTGGAAACGAGACAATATGAAGTGTTCAATTTTTAATCCATATTATGGTTCAAGAAAACTACACGCAAAATACCATGAAAATGTTTAGAAGTCTGAATACGTATTTCGGTAACTAGGAGTAAAGCGGGATTTATAGGTTGAAGCGCAGCCGCTGCCGCTGCTGTTGCAGCCGCCGTAGGAGTTCTGGAAACATGAGTCAATTTATACTTCATTCCTGGGGCCAACTGTTTTTCTTCATCAATAGATTTTTGTTATTTATATCTTTCTAATTGTATAGATGGGGAGAGCTCTCTACCAAATTTGAGAATACTCCTACATAGATCACTCCTATATCAATGTTCTCCATTTTCACTATAATTTTCCAATATTCAACAACGGGAAACCAAATTTCAATGGGTTGCGTGCAAGAACTGTCAGATTGTCGACCCTGGAGGTGAAACATTGAAACACAACCTCACTTTTCTTATTTGTTCACAAATGATTGAAATAGCTTTTCACAATTATTTTGACTTATTAGGAATCGTGTTTTTCGACTATTCATCAATTCGCGCATGTCATCACATTGTGCTGTTGTACAATGCATAAAAAATGCAGCGAGAGACGAAGGAATCCGGTTGGTACATTATGATTTAAAAGTAAGTACCTACTATAGTCACTCATATATAGTTTTTATTTTGAAATTTGGTAATTTCTCTTATTTCTCATCGGAATTCCTTCTGCAATAGGAGCTAATAGATATACTCATGAAATTTCTAAAAGAATGCAAGAGGATTGGATTCATGCAATCAAACCGGGAGGACTGGTCTGATATGCTGACGAAATATGATCGTGTTTGTTGTAGACATTTTCAATCTATTAGCAGTATTAGCTTCTATTGCAGAAGTGGCAGAAGGAATTTTAATAAGAAATTACGAAATTGTATAATGAAAACTATGTGAGATTACTATTTACCTGAAGAATCATATTCCTTCGTCTCTCGCTGCATTGTTCGTGTATTGTACTACAGCACCCTGTATATCTGTTCCGATTGAATATCAGTAAATAGTAAATGAAAAGTTGAGATAGGGACATGTAAGCCGTTTTGACCGATGATGAATAGTTTCGTCTCAAAAAAATCCTAAAGTTGAAAAATCTCGATTTTGAACACCCTATATCTCTGTAATCATTCCCGATAGACCCCAAGTGTGATGTATCGATCAATTCAGCTCTTCAGGGAGAATATAAAAATGCAATGAAATACAGGGTATTCTATTTGATATAACAAAGTTGTTGCTACTTTTTGATAGAAACGGCAACACTGCATTGCTGAAATTATTTTAAATGAAGAGAGCGCGTATTCTAAAATATAAGCATGCATATTTTCATGTATTTCTCCTGACTGATTCTCGATATAGAGATCGTGTAAGCTGGCCGTGACATACCCTGTTTATATCTTTCGTACCGTTTTTTGTATTTTTTCCGATCGAGGAATACTCTCTTCTGATTTTCGTGCTTTCTGTTCTAAACTGTATTTTCTCCGATCAAGAAATGCATTCTTCTGATTTTCGTGCTTTCTGTTCGAAACTGTATTTTTTAAGAATCTACAATCTTTAATAACTGTGATACAGAACGTAATCTTGATTTTGGCAAAATCTTCATCTATGGTCGGGTCATAACTTTAGAACCACTGTGTATAATCGATTCATACTTGGTAGGTATATTCAACTCGCATATCACTCATCAAAACTAAATAGGAATCGAATTTAGAATCCAGATCCGTCTTCAGGCAAAACAGAAAACTTCTTCTTTCTCAATAACAACACTCTCTATATTAGAATTTTGTAGATATGTTCTGATATCTGCAAGGAGCAGGAAAAATCAATGAATTGGTCTACTTTTTAACAGTGCACATCCAATTTGAAGAATATAATTTTTATTGAACTCGTAATTCAAAATCCAATTTTATTAAAAAAAACTAACCAGTCCTCAAATTTCTACTTAATTAGAGCTGAATTAGGTGAACTATCGATGGATTTTGTTCCATAGAATAATTTGACAATTATTTTAGTTATTTTCGTGAGCTCATTTCATTTTCACACACACAAATGTCAAATTTAAAATATGAAAAGTAGGCCACATTGTTCATTATTTTCCTACTCTTTCCAGTTATCAAAACATATCTAGAGATTTTGAGAGAGATTATATTTTCAGCCTGTGTTCAATCATTAAACTTTCGAAAATCGAATCGAATTTCAGTATATCCGTGTTCAATACTTAATCTTATATTTTGTATATTATATATCTTTCTCCCCGTATAATTTCATCATCAATGGTCATAGATTTCCCCCCGTATAATTCCATTATCATCATTAGTCATAGACACATCATTTTTTGTTCGGAAATTAATCGGTTATCAGGATGATTCAACTTATTAGTCATTCATTCGGGACCAGGTGGTAAATCAAGACAGTCTTATATTAGATGTCATCACATACGGTCGAATTTTGTGATCGACATCGAAAAATACGCGAAAGGAATTTTTTATCGTTCCAAACTGAGTGTTCCCTAAAAACTGAGTGATCGTATTGATTCGTATGTGTTTTTGTATTCCTCATTCGATTCAATAATAATAATATCGGGATAGTGTGTTGTTCTAGTGTTTCGTGTTCAAAGCCTCAATTTTTTCACGCTGGTGAGTGCAGAGAAATTCTCTCAATTTTTCCTCACATTCCTCTGTATTCATTTAACTTCATTACTCTATACAGGGTATGTCACGACGAGCTTATCGCTTGTCGTGACATACCCTGTATTTTTCGTACCGTTTTTTGTATTTTTTCCGATCGAGGAATCCTCTCTTCTGATTTTCGTGCTTTCTGTTCGGAACTGTATTTTTTAAGAATCTACAATCTTTAATAACTGTGATACAGAACGTAATCTCGATTTTGGCAAAATCTTCATCTATGGTCAGTTCATATTTTTAGAATCACTGTGTATAATCGATTCATACTTGGTAGTTATATTCAACTCATATCACTCATCAAAACTAAATAGGAATCGAATTCAGAGTCCAGATCCGTCTTCAGGCAAAACAGGAAACTTCTTCTTTCTCAATAACAACACTCTCTATATTAGAATTTGAAGAATATAATTTGTATTGAACTCGTAATTCAAATCCAATTTTATTAAAAAAAAAACTAACCAGTCCTCAAATTTCTACTTAAATATAGCTGAATTAGGCGAACTATCGATAGATTTTGTTCCATAGAATGATTTGACAATTATTTTAGTTATTTTCGTGAGCTCATTTCATTTTCACACACACAAATGTCAAATTTAAAATATGAAAAGTAGGCCACATTGTTCATTATTTTCCTACTCTTTCCAGTTATCAAAACATATCTAGAGATTTTGAGACAGATTGTATTTTCAGCCTGTGTTCAATCATTAAACTTTCGAAAATCGAATCGAATTTCAGTATATCCGTGTTCAATACTTGATCTTATATTTTGTATATTATATATCTTTTTCCCCGTATAATTTCATCATCAATGGTCATAGATTTCCCCCCGTATAATTCCATTATCATCATTTGTCATAGATACATCATTTTTTGTTCGGAAATTAATCGGTTATCAGGATGATTCAACTTATTAGTCATTCATTCGGGACCAGGTGTTAAATCAAGACAGTCTTATATTAGATGTCATCACATACGGTCGAATTTTGTGATCGACATCGAAAAATACGCGATAGGAATTTTTTATCGTTCCAAACTGAGTGTTCCCTAAAAACTGAGTGATCGTATTGATTCGTATATAGTGTTTTTGTATTCCTCATTCGATTCAATAATAATAATATCGGGATAGTGTGTTGTTCTAGTGTTTCGTGTTCAAAGCCTCAATTTTTTCACGCTGGTGAGTGCAGAGAAATTCTCTCAATTTTTCCTCATATTCCTCTGTATTCATTTAACTTCATTACTCTATACAGGGTATGTCACGACGAGCTTATCGCTTGTCGTGACATACCCTGTATGTTTCGTACCGTTTTTTGTATTTTTTCCGATCGAGGAATCCTCTCTTCTGATTTTCGTGCTTTCTGTTCGAAACTGTATTTTTTAAGAATCTACAATCTTTAATAACTGTGATACAGAACGTAATCTCGATTTTGGCAAAATCTTCATCTATGGTCAGTTCATAACTTTAGAACCACTGTGTATAATCGATTCATACTTGGTAGTTATATTCAACTCATATCACTCATCAAAACTAAATAGGAATCGAATTTAGAATCCAGATCCGTCTTCAGGCAAAACAGAAAACTTCTTCTTTCTCAATAACAACACTCTCTATATTAGAATTTGAAGAATATAATTTGTATTGAACTCGTAATTCAAATCCAATTTTATTAAAGAAAAACTAACCAGTCCTCAAATTTCTACTTAAATATACAGGGTGTTTCAGTTTTTTGTAGCAGGACTTAAACAGCTTGAAGAAGACATTTTTTCAAGATGAAAATCTCAAACAAACATATATGCGTGGCAGCTTCGTTTCCGATTTACAGGGTGTCAAAGTTTCAGATTTTTTTTATGTTTTTTTAATTTTCTCCTACAATTTTCGGAATAATTGATTGAAATTTGGTACACCTAATACACTTCGAAAACTCAATATTTGAGGCTATTGAGCGTTTTTGAATACCTACAGGGTGATAGACTTTCAGGAGTCGTACCCAATTTAACCCTGTAGAACTTTTTTGCGTGCCGCCTCTGCTTTCAATGGGACATAGATTCAGATTGTCTCTGCAATTTGGAAACTTTTTGCCCCCATGTATGTTTTTCGAAAACTGTATGGATTTCGAAATAAATAAAAGTGGAGTCCGAACCACTTCTAAGGGTACTGATAAAATTAGAATTGCCGTTCACGAGATTGAATTATTAAAACTCACAACACCTCAACCGTCAGAAGCGATAGTCTAGCGATGTATAGCGCCTAGACCGTGTTATACAGTCCCTGATATCGAAAGTT